CCCCCCATATCCTGTGAGATATGTGTGTGAGCCTGAGAGTGAATGCACAAACCTGTAGAATGGAGTTTGCAGGCAGAATCCTTAGCTGACAAAATTAAGTTTACGAGTACAAATACAAATGTACGAATTTTAATAAATTAAGCGTACAGGCACAAACCAAAATATACAAAATAGAAATTAAGTGTACAGATACTAACCTCTGTTTCGAAGCACCCCTTTTCTGAATAATATTCCATTTTTATGCCTGCAGTCCTGCACAAACCTGTTTGTGTGTTTTAACAGAGTTCTATTATCTGTCAAGAAAAGGCATTTTTAAAATGTTTAATTTAGTTACGTCAAGTCCATAATTTGATGTTTTTCCTTTAATTTCCAGAAATTTCTGGGGCTGGACCCTGTTATTTGACTATTCAGATATTTGTTAGTTGAGTAGGTAATCGGTTTTTAATTTTGATGAATGAACCTTCATGGTCTCCCTGTCTCTCTGTAACCAACTTGCGTGAAATAAGTGCAAAAACTAAAAACGTTCTCCTGTCATGTAGCTGTGCGTTTTAGTTTTATTGTATTTTATTGTCTGTCGAGTTCAGGGCTGCAAAGCCAGGTTTCATTCATAATGAATAGCACCCGTTACTACCCCAGCTTCTTGAATCCCTAATGACTCGTTGCACTGTAGATGCACAGGGCTCTCTCTGTAGCAGCGTGCATTACTTAACTCTAATTGTATTAACCATTTGCATTTGCTACCTGTACATAGATTATATACATACTTGTTTGCATTCATTTCATGTTCCACCCTCACCTGCATACATTTATTCTTCTTTGTTTCTGTTGTTATTTTTCTCCGGCCTTCTCTGCTCCAGTTGCCTCACTTCAGTGGGTTTGAATGTTGCCCAGTCATCTGACTGGAGTTAGTCCTCACAACAGTCTGGGATGGCAGTGGCGGCTGATCCACACACCCACACCCACACCAAGAACAATACCTTCTTTTTGCTGACTCGAGTAGGGGAGTCCATGAAGTGGTTTCAATTTCTGAACCTCTCTGCCAGGAGAGAGCTTGTCAAGGCAAACACAAAAAAGGTCACGTACAGTAAACACAGAGCATCGTTTTAAGTGTGTCCCAGTCCTAGACTTCATTATGTTAACATTTACAAGAGTCATGTCCAGCCCAATCCGACTGGCGTCAGCATCCTATGAGTCAGGAACAGAGCTTACAAATGCAAACGAGTATCTGTTATCCTAATCGTATGATGGCAAATACCAGTAAGTGATGCGAGCGCAGCTGCTTTGAATCGGAAGCATTTTGCATGTATTTTAGGATGATATTCCAACTACACAGACCTGTGGTGCATTTAAGTGTTGTTGTAGATGAAGAGATCTTCCTTGACATATTATAGAAAAGCATCAAAGGAAAATGATCGTGCATTTTCACACAGTTACGTAAATTGGTTTACTAGCTCTAATGTAGGTCAGTATGTGCTTTACCAATGTATTATTTAGAAATGAAAATATATGCAAATGTGGCAAAGCTTATCAAGGAATATGAGAGTGTTAAACGGTGAGGGAAGCACATGATCAGGACCTACTTGGTGTCCTTTTCTTGGTGTCTGACTTCTTTGTGCATATGTGTGAGTGTTTAACTCGTAGAGAGTGACAGATGTGCTCAAAGAAATAAATCAATCCTGACTATTTTAATATTTTGTGTTCTACAGCTCAGAATGTGACGTTGGAGGACATCCTCTCTTCCTACAAACAGGCCTGTCAGAAGCTCAACTGTAAACCCATACCCAAAGTGCTCAAACAGATACAGGTAAGACTGAGCTTAACACAGTCACATGGAACAAAATATCAACACACAGACAACAAAGTCTCAGGATTTTGTCCTTTTTTTCTCTCTTGCCTAGTTGTGGTTGTTTTGTAACTCAATTCGTCTGCTGTTGGGAAAGGAAAATGTTCAGTTCACTCAGTGAGGAAAAGCGGAACATGTACGAAGGGGATGAATGAGAAGGCTGTTTCAACTTGGAATTACATTGTTTGTCACCTCTCATGTAGCTTGATATTCCCCTCCTAACCCCATTGACAGAGTGGAAAGCAGTCTAAACCCAGACATACTGGGTTTTTCCTTATCTTCAGCTTTTCCTTGTCACTGCTATCACTGTTGTCATGAAGCTGCTGCTTTTTGATGGCAAAGCTGGTGATGAACCCAGGTTTTTGTAGTGATGTGCAGCCTCCTGTTAAACAATGTGTATTATTGTCAATAAGTTATTCAGATCATTTTAATCATTTGAAGTCAATTTTCAGCAGAAAATCTGATGTATTTTGTCAATTAGTCAACAACCACTTTGAAAGGTGGAGTGAAAAGCTGTGATAGAGAGGCAAAGAGACAGTATTGTTAAAACAGAGATATCAGAGCATATTTTAAACACTGACATTTCTCTTCATGAAAAACTATAGTGTTCTCAATTCTTCATATTAAAAGTGCCATAAAATGTTGTTTAACAAGTGAAAAATGAAAGCTAGAGAGAGAGAAATACAATACCTTGCTTCTTTCTCACCTCCACATATCTATCATGGAGTGTGTGATTGGGTTGAAGAAAACGGTCGACACAGACACCCCTTATGCAGTGTTGGAATGGCGTCGGGGGAGGGTGTTTCTACACAATCCAGCATGCAGTGCGGAAAGTGATTAAATTCAGCTATATATACGACTATATATCTCAACAGTAGAAACTAGTCTGCTTGTGGCCATGCTGGGCTGCACCGTGTACCCAGGAGCTGTAGAAGATTCAAGATTTTTATTTACCATTTATGCATAAACACACAGTCTAGGCATGTAGGAATTCTTGTGCAGCTCTCCTTTGGAGTCAGGTAAGGAGTCGAAGGCCAGATAGAACACTTAGTCTTAAAATAAAAAAGTTACATCAAGGCAAGTATTAAAAACCACAATACACAAAAATAGGGTAATAGTATTTTCCCCAGTGAACTTCAAACATCGCACTTAGTAATTCACATAGTGGAGTTGGATATGGCATTACGCTTGGTGAGGTAGTGAGGGGTTACTGCACATGTCTAGTTAGGGGTTATTGCACATATATTCCCACATTTGTATTTGCCATCAGTCTTACTGCGGCAGGGAAAAGGCTATTGTAAAGTCTTCTGTGTGTGATGATACTGTCCGCCCAGTGAGGAAGTCCTATCAGCTCCACCCAAAACTTCTTTGTAATTGTGAAGGTTCCTGTTCATAAGGTTGAACAAAATCTTGTTCCAAAAATTACATCCTAAATCTTCATTCTGGTGATGTTAATGCAGTTTGAGGGCATGGCATGATGCACCATGGCATGACCCCAGACAAGTGCTGTGGTTATATCCTGTAGAGGTGGGGCCGTTTTCCTTTTTCCGCAAGGTGGTTGTCACTCCCTACTCACGGACAACTTTTTTTTTTTTTTTTTTTTTTTGCTTTCTCTTGCGGGCCAGCCAGCACAGTCATGTGTCCCATAATCCCTTTGTAGTCTTCCAGTTCAGTTTGTTATATATTTCTCAGTCTTGTGCCTTGTATGTATAAAATATGATTGAATGGGTAGAGAAAGTGAAAATAGCATTTTATTAAACCACCTTCTCAAGCAGACAGTATTTCCACTTCAGGGCATACTGCCCTAGAATTAAAATGACTGCTGACAACATGACAATGCATATTAAAATGTTTTTTTCATTTGAATGTGTCAAAAAAAAATTTAATATTCATCTGTCTTTATCTGATCTCGATATGAGGATCATATGTTATTGTACAGTTTGGGAAACTCAGAAACATTGCTCACATACTGTAACCTGGGAGTCTATGACTGTAGGCACAGCCAGGGTGAAATAGAAACAAGTAAGCTAACTAGTTTCACATCAGTTCAAGCAGTGGTCAACAGTGATTGGCCGCGTGTACGAAGGTCAGTGCTATCGGGTCAAAGTTCAACAAATATGAACTTTTGGTGCTCCCCAGCACCGCAACGTCTGTGCAGAACCTGGTCAGTGCACCACATACACACAACAGCAAGGTGTGCTTTAGTCGTTTTCCGCAATAATGTGAACACACCATAATTGGTTCCCCTTTAGTTGTACTGAGAAAACGGAGCCGTAAGCAGCACTAGCCTTTGCAGCAGGGACACATTAGCACTTTCTTCTGATTGTTTTGTTGCACGTCACTGTAACACACACTCATATAAACCCTTAACTCTGGCCTCTCCACTAGAACTTTGCACTTTTGTGCCTGCAGGTTTGTTTCCATGTGTGAGTGATGATGTTAAAACAAAGAGACTGGAAAGAAATCCCCACACTCCTGGTCACCTGAGAGACAAAGAGCTGGGTTAGGATCTCAGCTACTTGTGGAAATGCACATCACTGGGCTGAGCTATTGCTGTGAGCTTCACTGAGTCCTATTCTCCGGGTACATTTCCACTGGGAGTTGAATCACCCAGGACTCTTGATCACCACAGACTTGTCCCACCCTCTCCCTCCACTGCCTTTTTTTTTTTTTCTTTTTTTTTTTATTACTCACTTTTTGTGATGTCTGGCCTTTCTCCGTGCCCCCTAATGCTGTAGTCCTTTGGTCTGCTACAGCTCCTTCTCATAACTGCTTAGTCATCCTTGCAGTAGCCAGTCTCGTGAACCTGCCAGCCAGACCAAATGGCTGGCCAGTGAGATGAGTGTTAGCAGGAGGAATGCAGCCATTTACTGTTCTTTTCTTTTTAACTCTAAATGCTTTTTTTATTAAGTCTAACTGCACTGTGTACATGGCAGCCTGCCAGGAGCCCTACATGTTATGTAAATTTCTGACCAGTTGTTTGGCTGTGTTTATAAGGGTCACTATTTAGCAGATGTATGTGGAATGGAATGCCTCCTGTGCAGTTACTCCCACCAGATTTTTAAGACCTGAACACTTTGTAGTCCTGTGTCATTATTCTTCAGGGGCGAGTGGTTTCCCCATTATGCAGTCTCTCTCACACACAGCTAGGGTGCACGCTCACTGTCTCTAAAGGCTGGTGGCGAGTCATATCTTATAGGGAGTATGCAGTAAAGGCTCATTTGCTGCACACACCACATTAACACGTGCTGTGCTAACACCTACCTAACAAGGGCTGGACTCTCCGAAGTCCACATTTAGACACTAAATATGTCAGTGGGCTGACGAGCCATTTCAAAGGCATCTCCAAATGTTGCAGAGAAATGCGGTCTTTTTTTTTTTTTTGTACAGATATGGGCAACGTAATCCATAGCCAGCTACCAAAGGGTATATTGAACTGACTTAAGTGACAAAAATCTGGAAATGTCACATGACTGGGCCCCTGTCTATTTAGAACAGTAAAATGCCCTCTACAAGATTAAATAATGGAAACCGCATATAAAGTCCAGTTACTGTTCTCATGATCACTGTTTATATGTTTAATCACAGACTTTTAAGTTGTATGGATGCATCTACGATTAACCTGGTCACACAGTTTGGATCGATCAGTAGTCTGGATCATAAGCTTTCTGGTAGTTGGCTTTTGCAAAAAATAAATAAATAAATAAATCTGGACTACGCTATATTCAGAGGTGTTTCTATACTTTTCTCCTCCCAAGCTATATACATTAGAAGGTCAGAAGATTAGGAATACCTCTGAATATAATGTAGTTCACTACAACACCACCTCAATAATAAACATGTAATTGAATTTATACATTTGACAATTTCAACAGAAACTAAAACTTTTTGAGCTTCATAAACACAGATGTTAAGGTGTAAGTGTTGACTTGAATTGCATACAATTGTACAGGTGTACCTAATAAAGTGGCTGGTCAGTTTATAACATGTTACGCAGACACAGTATAGCAAGACTCACTACAGCATGTAATGAACAAGATCAGAAATGGAGTCACTAGCTCAGTTTAGTCCACCCACAACACACACCCATATCACCACCATGCATGGAGAGGCACATGGTGCGTCATGGACTATTTTGGGTTCTGGCAGCTCTGTCAGAGAAGTACTGACACTGATAAAGTCATTCTCACTGACAGGTGCCCAGGTTATTTGTAGGTGAACACTGACTTGCTGTTAAATTGCCCAAAATGTGTGACTGCTTGTGTTTGCAGAGTCAACTCCATCTGCTGCTGTTGAAGAATATCCAGTACAACACTGAAGTGCGCCATATTTCCCAAAAGGCACTGAGAAAATGCAGTCTAAATCTTTCATGTATATATATGTATATTTTTATATTAACCTGCCTAAAGTGAATGGTGCAGTCAGTTTCGCAGATCACTTACCTTTATAACTTCTGCATTGCTTTATTTAGTCTCATTGTGTTTTAATAATAGTGGTGCTTTTTAGATGTGGCATTTATCTCATAACCTCATTGTATTTTGGGGACCTGTTTAGTCATGCAGGAGGCCATGAACCGTCAGTACAGCTAAACCAGCAATCTGTATGTTCAGCCACACACAGAGAAGTGATTGCAGTGTGGCAGGAGTACAGAGGTTATGGAGTTCATGCTGAATGGACAGGCCAGTCAGCTACACCAAGGGATTTGTTGCTACATAGTTTTGAGGGCAATGCTCAGTTTTCTTGTTTGTGTGGGTGGCTGAGTGTTTTACCAGGCCAAGAGGTTAAAAGACTTTCCTCCTTTTGATGTGTGAGGCTGTGGCGGACTACATCACAGAATAGATGACATGTTTATGTTGAACACCCACGCCAACAGTACATGTTCAGGTTTACAGACTCATCTGGTGCATAAAATGGAATCATCATTTGATAATGATATTCACTTTTACTTTATGTTACACACACAAGGAATTTGTCTCTGGTACAGAACCAAAGCAGCCATCTATGGCGCCAACTCAGGTGAAGCTTAATTTTACTCCTATGTCCCTGTTCACCTTTTTGTTTCCCCCTCCAAGTCATTCAGATCTGATCTTGTCACAAATTTGTGACCAAACCAAATGTGTTTTTTGAGATCGGATCTGGACCATTTGCATGTGTGGTCCTAGATCTGATTCATATCTGGCCTTTGTCAGATCAGGATTTATGTGGTTTTTTTAAACGGTTTCCTTCTCTGCACATGCGCATATCGCCTGTCTTCATCATTCCTTGTCAGCCCCTCACAGACGATTAAAAAAAAAAAAAGGAGAGCAACAACAGTGACGGGCCTCATTGGTGAGACGAGGACATTTTATTTTTGTTGAAACTAGAAGAAACGCATCATAACCAAGCTGTTTGTGAGGGAATTTCCGCGTCGCACAAATACATTTTTTTTTATATGCACATGATGATTCACATTTCATTTACATAAATCTGTGCATGCATGGCAGCTCAACGGTGTTTCACCAGAGCCAGATATATCACTTGCAGGCGTGAATGTGAACCACAAACAAAAAAAGATCAGAATTCATCATCAAGGCATGTAACATGAGCTTCACCCAAGTTACTGAACTTTTTCACCCATATTAAAGTTATTTTCCAAATATTCCCAGTGATACTAGAACTCAAAGGCACAATGATGTAGTGTGAACACACCATGTGAGAATTTAGTGAAAGGTTTGTCTCATTTGATCTGTGTCTTGTCTCCAGTACTGTTTTATTGAATTAGCTCTTTTGTGATGTGTCAACATGTGACTTGCTTCTATGGGGAAATACACAAATTAAACTCCTATTGACACTGTTTCGTTTTGTGTGTGTAGGAACTGAAAGACCTGACTCGGCGAAACGAATGCTTAGATCTAAAAGGTGAGCACCAAAGCACCAGCCTAGCAGTCAACACTGTAAATTCAACTTGTAGGAATCAACCAAACCATCTTAATACTTGGAGAAACATGTTTACAGTTTCACTTAAACTTTGTTTAATATAACATAGTTCATAGTGTGCTGCGACAAAATGGTGAATTGACCAGACTTGTGTGTGTTTTTAGGTGAGAAGCTGGACCACAAATCATGCGAGTCTCTGGAGGAGATTTTGAAGAGGGTCCAGTTTAAAGTGATAGACCTGGAGCAGACCAATCTGGACGAAGATGTAAGTAGATCTCTCTCTTGTTTTTGTCACTGTTGCTTTCTGTCTTGCACTCTCACTGCACTGACAGGATGTGGAGTGTTTGTCATGGGTTTTCTGATTACTGCAGATGTCCACTTGTGTAAACACCATTAGGGAGTTCTGAGACCTGCTGTAGACACGCACAGATACAGTGACACAGAGGGACACAGGCCCTGACCACTTCCTGTCATATAGATCTCCAAATGTAATGTGCAGTACCGTATCACACACAGACACAAGCCCTACTTTTAGCACAGTCACACAGGCCAAGTGTCTTTGGGTTAGGAAGGGTCCCTGCTCATTACTTTAGTCTTGTCTGACAAAGCTCTGTCAGTACTTTGACCCTTGAACCACAGAATTAATTTAGGCCATGGGTCTCCTGCTGGGTTTAACCACCCATTAGATGGTGTGAAAACTGTAGTCCATTCCTTAGAGATACATGTGGACTTTGGATATTTGGGCAGCTGCTGTGTTACCTCCAGACTGTCAGTTAAGTATGCATTTTGATGGGGTTTTTTTTTCATGAGTCAAAATGAAGCAAAGATGCCCTGTGGAGGTTTTCACTACTATTAGCACTATAGAGCAATGTCTTAAAGCAGTCATCCCCATTTTGTTTGTATTGAGTGCACAGACATGATGACACCCTGCTCATACATGCATGTATGAGCAGGGTACACACTCCAGTTGCTTCACTGACTTCATGCACCCTGCACCATTTGTTTTCCTTTGTTCTGTTTAAGGCTTGTCCATTAAAGTCTGCAAAATTGAGAACACTCATCCACCTTTTTGAGGAATTCACACAACCTGACTGCACCAAAGATATTCCACTAAAAAGATGATCTTTGGCACAATGTTACATTCGCCGTTAACTAGTCAACTGTGTGTTGTAGATCATTAGTTATTCGCAGTAACACACATTTGTTATACCTCAAAGATACACGGAGTGTAGTTTAGTGAAAAGCTATCCAATATAACCTAAAAACTCCACATGATACCTTTAGAACATCGAAGTGTCTAAGAGGGACTATCAAACAAACCCACATGAACTCCATCTGGAGGCCAATAAAACAGTTGCTGAACAAATATGAATTGAACAAGTTGAAAAAACTCTTGAACCATTCTTGTTTGATCATTGATTTATTAGCAGGCAGTAACAGTGTCTCAGTGAGGAGCACGATTACATAGCATAAGTACATGTGTAGTGTCCTTAGCCACTACAGGGCTGGCATCTTCTTGTTCTACTTTACTTTGGAGGTGCCTTTGTTTATTCTGGCGTTCTCCCATTTTCTAAATTAAGAATTATCTATGTTGAACTGACAAAAAGTTGGTGTTCACCTGTGCTAGCATTGGGCATTTATTCTCTGTGGAATGATTTTGCCCACTTACATTCAGGAATATTTTATGATGTAATCAAGATCAAAGATTTTTATTGTCATTTCACTATATGTGCAGGATATACAGAAAAACCAAATACTGTTTCTCTCTCACCTAATATTGAATGCCCATACCATTTAAGAAACTAAAATAGAATAAAGGTTGAATAAAAATAGAATCTGGATAAGTGGAGGAAAATGGATGGATGGATAAAAATAGAATGTAATAGAATAAGAAAACTAAATTTAAGTAATTAGGATAAAATTAAACGGTACAACCTAATAGGCTATGAGGTAATTTTACCTCATCCACAACTAGTCAGACATAGAACACCACATCAAGAGAAGTAAGGTGTAACCTGAAAATGGCAACTCCAGTATAACAATGTCGCCAATACAACAAAGAACCGAAGTACGATATAATACAATAATGAGGAATTCACAGGCCTTTTTAACACACATTGCAGAAAACACCAGAACTCCCCTTAAAGAGCAGTGACTCCTTAAAGGTAGGGTTGGCAATTCTTTTGATGGCAATGTATACATTAAATGCCCTGTTAGCACCAAGAAAAAGATTCATCATCTGTTGCAGCAGCAGGGCTGAAAAAAGCCTGTCCAGTAATTTTACTCTTTCCAAGCAAAACCATTGGATGGCTTACCTACTTGTCACCCTACTTCCTACTTGCGCACAATTTGCTCTTGCACTTATTGTGCGAGCCCAGAGTCTCCCACAAGGCCAGGCAGGCAAATATGTTACTGCTTTGTTTTTATAGCTAAAGCTAGCGACCTATGGCAGAGAAAGTACCACAACAGCTTTTGGCCATAAATGAAGACCGTATTGAAGAAAGTTACAACTAAAAAGAAGTTTGATGCTGCAAGAAGTAAAACCAGAACTAACATTGGTGTGGCTTTTGAACGACAACAACAACTGAGAGAACAAAAGGGGCTGAAAAGTGACGCCATGGTGGGCACATTTCTGCTTGACAGGTAATTGTCGGTTTTGTTTTGTTTGGGTTGCATTTGTTTATTTTCCTGAAATCTAAGTAGTCAGGCAGCACACGTTGTGGTGTTTCTTGGGTTTTGGAGGAGTGGCTTTGGAGAGAAGTGAGAATGAAAGGATGGGCTGAATTTCCTGTTGCTGGTTTTTCCAGGAACACCATAGAGGCCATGCAGGTTTTCTTATTTATACAAGGTTCAAGCAGTTACATTCACAAAGAACACTGTATGTGTACTTTGTTAACAAATGTTTGTTATAGAAAATACAAACAACTTAGATGTGCACACAGGCACATCAGCGTTTCAAATAGTCCAAACATGCAGAGTGACGTATGCACTTTTTTCCCACCAATCATGGAGCAGCTGAGTGAGTCAGTGACTGAATCTGAGACAAGTGTCTCGCTTTGGGCTCAAATAAAATGAGATGCTGAACAGAGAATTATTGAGGAAGCGCAGATGTTTAGGGCGAGAACAGAGGAAGGTGGGATAGAAAAGATATCAAATGTAGAAGTGAGAGGATGGGTTCATCTTTGAAGTGAGTGTGAGAGAGTTATAGCAGATAGCTTGATTTGGCAGTGCATCATAACTGCAGCAGTGGCCTGTTGTTGGAATTGATATGGGAAGATGAAAGGAGAAAAATCGTTGAGGAGAAATGTTGAAAGAAGCATAGGGAGGAGCAGATGTGGGGTGTACTAACATTGCTGGCTTTTATTGGGCTGGCAGTGACTCATCCCCCCACCCCCGTAGATAAACACACTTGTGTATACTCAGTAATGTCTTCCAGCACACATACACACAGACACTCAAAGGGGTAAAGGTTATAAGACGCGATGCAGCAGTCTGTCTGGTTTTGTTACTTCTCATCAGCCTCAACAGAGGATAAAGTCACTCCCATTAAAGTTACTCCCATTTTAATTTGGATCACTTCCTGCATCTGGCAGCACAGTAGTAAATCCATCACCGGCTGATGATTCTGGTGATTTTTGCTTCTCATTATTACTGAGTGAAAGACAGAAGAGAGAGAATCCACACATGAGACCTACAGTAATGACTCAGTCGCTATTTTTTGTTAAAATGGGCTAGTATTTATAATGTCATCAAAGCAAATAGGGGATTAACACAGTGAGACTTTGCTTTTTTTCCCATTACATTTTATATCTTTGTAAACTCAATATTTTTGGAATTTTGGCAGCTGGACAGGCAAAAAAAAGACATTTTAAAATGTCACCTTGTGATCTGGCAAATTTTGAGGGGCATTGCCTTGCAATTTTTGGGGTTTTTGTAGAACAGACTCTTCACTGACATGGCACATTGTTATAATCTTCAGTTGCAGCCATTGGAATTTTAAGTACACTTTTGATGTAATTAAGTTGAACTATGAATTGTTTAATAAATAACGGTAATTTTACTTCAGAGACAGTACTTTTGTTCTTGATACTTGAAGTACATTTTGCTGATGTACCTTTATTTAAGAAGACCTGAAATAGTGTATCTTTATGTTGTGGCATTGGCACTTACGTAAAGTATGTGAAAACTTCTGCCACTGATTGCTGCCTGACTCTAAAACAAACATCCTTCAGTGGTGCATCTGGACAAGAGGCGCTTTCACTTGTTCACTATTTTTAATTCTGCTCAAGCTGGTTTTTCATTTGCAACAGTAGACAGTAGCCCATACAGGTGTCTCTTTACCTGTCGAAACACCTCAGCTGTCCCGAAGGGCTGTTACCATGGCACCTACTGCTGCTGAAGGCTGTATCCTGCAGCATCCCTTTCAGGGTCTTGACAGAGTGCCTGGGTGTGAGCCTTCTTTAAATGTTTCTCCTATTCCTTCTGGCTTCTGACTTTCTCTCTCTGTGCTTTTCAGGGTGCATCAGCTCTGTTTGACATGATCGAGTATTATGAGTCAGCCACACATCTCAATATCTCCTTCAACAAGCACATTGGCACACGGGGATGGCAGGCCGCAGCTCACATGATGAGAAAGGTGAGAGCTCATCCTCCCTTACAGTGGATAACATCATCAGCAGAGGAAAAGGATAGGACATTGTCTATGGAAATGCAAAAACACAGCAATCCGTGAAAAAAATCTTAAAGTAAGATGTTTATTTGTCCATATACACAGTGCCCATGTCACAGTGAGTGGTTCAGAAGCTGCATTCACTCACATTCAGTGGGTTTAGAGGAGAAGCTAAATCATCTTTTGAGATATCCAATTGAAAGTAACATTACATCCACAGCAAGTAATGTGAAATGATTATCTTTACATTACCTTTTTGTAAATGCCAGCATGCTGCCGATTCTCCTGAGAACAGTAACATGGGATGACAGGGACAGAACATTAATAAGAACCATCTTACGTTTGGTAAACGGGTCAAACAACTAAATCAGCTTTTGAACAATAGATTTTGTGGGTGGCATAGGAAGCTGCTATACCTCACAGGAGCTACTGTTTGTGGTTCTGTACATGTAAAATGTATTGCATTGCAGTGACGTTCTTGTTTTCAAAGATTAGTTTTAGTCTGTGATCACTGATTCAGCATGTGTAGTTTCTACCATGCAAATGAAATGATTGTATTTCTGCTGTTTTTTGTTTGTTTGTTTGTTTTTTTCCATAGATGAGCTCTCTTCAGCATCTCGATGCCCGGAACACTCCTCTACTGGACCACTCAGCTCCCTTTGTAGCACGAGCGCTCAGGATCAGTGGCAGCCTGGCAGTGCTCCACCTGGAGAATGCTGGCCTGTCTGGCAGACCACTCATGTTACTGGGTAAGATGGGCAAGGTGACAGGGGAGGAAGAAGAGGGGTTTTCTCTTTAAAGCCCCGCCTTCAGTATCAGGGAATCCTGATCCCTGAATGTAGACCTCTGTTCTTTACTTTTGTTTTTTTGGTCACCTTCCTTTGTTTTATTGTTTTGGTCAGCTACGGCTCTGAAGATGAATATGAACCTGCGGGAGCTATATCTGGCAGACAACAAGCTCAATGGCCTGCAGGACTCAGCTCAGCTTGGCAACTTGCTCAAATTCAACTGTAACATCCAGATCCTGGACCTGCGCAACAACCACATCCTAGACTCTGGTATGCAGCAGTGACAGACCACTAATGCATACAGTGGCATTATTGTTTTGTGGCCTTGTATGGTTTCTTAAGGTACCACCATTTTTTTTTATGTTTTTGTGCATACAGTTCAATACCTTTTCACAAACTCAGATGAGTTTTTTGTTTACTGTGGGGAAATTAGGTCATCAAAGGTAATACAGCACAATAAAACCAGAGTTACCACTTCACCATTATGTGCCTCTGCCAACCAGTTAAATTCATAGGAATGGAGAAGATGTGAGGACACAGTGACTTTGACCTCTGACCGCCAATATCTAATCAGTTCATCCTTAAGTTTGTGCCAAATTTGAAGAAATTCCCTCAAGGTGTTCCTGAGATATCACCTTCACAATAATGGAACAGACAGACGGTGACTCTCTCCAAAGCACAAACATGCTTGTAGTAACTGTCAGAGCTCCACTGGACTTTCTGTTTCTCCAGCAGAGATAAGGAACTTTGGACAGAAGCTTCTCAAGGTTGTTAGTTTTGACTCTGTCCAAGCTACTGTGTGAGAAGTGGCCCGTTTGTCCTCTGACCCTCCAGGTCACGCATTACGTAGCGACGAGGCCACGTCCCTTTCTCCTTGCTAATATCACTGTTGCATTTTTTTAAATATGCTGGGAGAGCAGAAAGTTATGGAATGAAGGTGTTTAGTTACCCTTTAAAAGCAAAGACGAGTTTTGATTACTAGGAATAAAAGTATTACACCTTACCCTTTTTCAATTTCTTTAATGATTTTGTCAGTGTACTGGTGTTTTGACATTATACTGGTTACTCTTAAAGGTCCAGCATCTCACTGCACTGTGACACCAGCTACTGCGATCATTGTGAAGACTATGAACAGCCTGACATGAACAGATATTTAGCTAACTTGTATGTCCTGTATATCTTAATACAGTGTTTTTTCCTGCACTTTTCACCATAGTTTACAGTAAATTAAATTGTTCTATTTTCTACTAAAACAGCTCAAAATGTTTTCTGTAATAGATTATGAAGAATATAGTAGAAACAAGCTGCTTCTAATGCACCAGGCTCCCTCACATTAAACTTTTTTTTTTTTAGTTCACATGATACTTTGTTAAAATGGTGATGTTTGTAAGCTAAATACTAACTAACGCCTGTGCTGGATTCTTTCTTTGTTTGTTGTCATAGGTCTGGCCTATGTGTGTGAAGGACTAAAAGAGCAGAGGAAAGGCCTCATCACTTTGGTGCTATGGAACAATCAGCTCACACACAACGGCATGGGCTACCTCGCTGCTGCACTGGTACACACACACACACAGTGGAACAATAAACCCAGTCTGCTCATACACACATACGCACACACAGAGGTTGTAAGAGGAAAACACTGGCTGTGTGTGTATAACGGCTCAGGCAGGGAGAATTCAAGTTTCTCCTCATTACTCTATAAGGAACTGGTGAAATTAGACCTCTGCTGTTTGGGGTACCTCTCAGCTTACTTCCATGTCTGCACATTGTAACTGTGGCTCAGTCCCGTCTACACCTGGTCTTTTGTGTGTTCAGTAAATAGAGTTTACCAATGAAAAAGTTACCTTTGCTGGAGTAATGACTGGCAGCTGTCTGCCCAGTCACCACCAGGGTCATGCATACACAGCTGGTAGCCGTAGGTTTGTCTCTAAGCTACAGCACTGAGAGAGGGAGGATTACCTGCTAAACACCAGATTTCAACTTGTACTGGCAGCTATTTGTTCTCCTTGGTGACTGAATGAGCTTGTTAAAATAACTACACACAAAGGATGATTCATGTTTCACTAAAGAAACCACTGCCTGATTTCTTTGTGTAAACTTGAGAGTAACAGGCATGTAGGTGAGAAGTGTGCTTTCCTGTGTGTTGTCCTATGTCACTCATTGTTCCCAGTGCCACATTGTTTCACAGCAGTATTGTTATAGACAGTCCATTATTAAAGTCATTGGTAGCATTTCTGTCATTGAGTGATAGTGTCAGTATCTCTTACATTCTGTTTCCCCTTATCAGTGTACACATTGTTTTAGTACTGCAGTGTTTACATTTAGAGACTGCTGAGTCATGACTCTTACTCTTGTCAGAGGAAGATACAGTTTTATAATCTTCAGTGCTTCTGTATAGTTCATGTAAAAATGTGCCCCTAGTTCAGAAAGCAGTAGCCAAGAAAAACAGTGTATCAGTAGAACAATCTTGATAGCTTATGCAATGATGATACAGATGAAAATAGTTACGGATAGGAGGTATTTGAAGCCTATTTAATTTCAGTTTATGGGCAGTTGTAAAATCAGTCATCAGGGGAGTGACAGTAATCAGTTGTTGAATATCAGAGATTTGACTAAGCAACATCTAATTAATAATTACATCTGAGAACTATAAAATAAAGAATCCCCTCAACCTCTCACATGTTGTTAATTATGGTGAATTATCACACAGCAGTTTGTTTCTTTTGTAGAAACACTTCATGGTTTTGCTTTAGTACTTAAAACTGTGTTTTTGAGCTTGTTCATGAAATCTGTATGATGTTTTTTTACTGAGGCTTGTGAGATCTTACTGGACCCGCAAAATGGCCTAGAACCTCCAGTCATGCTGAGGAAGATCCCATGACTGTCCTGGCTGCTTATTCATAACCTCGGAGACAACCACAGTGTAGCTGGTTTCATAATGCATTGAGATGCTAATGTTAGACATTTAACAGTAACTGATATAAGGACAAAAAGGCCAGTACACGAACAAAGTCCCTGTAGAAACTGAGACTGTTTACACAGTGAAAAAGATATTAACTTAAATAATTAGAACAATAACAATGGGGGATGTTTTAGGTCTCATACCATTAGCAGCACAATTCTCACCCAGAGGTTTAATAGTCTCCTAGAAAATTGTTTAAATCACAAAGTCTTTGCTATTCTCATGTTTGCATTGGAACAACACAAAAAAGCATAGAAAAAGCCAAATCTGATCTTTTCCACAGAGAACTCCAAAAATGGACTGGACAGAATTATTGACACCTTTTCAAAATCATCAGAAATAGTTGTATTTCCAGCATGTGATGCTCCTTTAATTCGTAATGAAACTCACTTGTAGCAACCAACCGGTGCGGGCAACATGGAAATCACACTGGTAACCAGGTAAAATGGAGAAAGGTTGACTCGACCTGTGTTGTGTGGACCACACTGAGAACAGAGAAGAGAAAGAAGAGCAAAGAAATGTCTGAGGGTTTGAGAAGCACAGTAGTGGAAAAGTCCATTTTTGGATTTCTCTGTGGAATGTATCAGAGTTGGCTTTTTTCGGCTTTTCTGTGTTGATCCAATACAAACAAAAGAAATAAACATACGAATACCAAAGAATTTATGACCAGCAATTTTCTGGGAGAAGTGGTGTGTTATCTGACAGAAATGCAGAGTCTAAATACCACTTGATGTACATTCTATTACTTTTTTTTTTTAATTGAACATATACAGTATATTTATCTGTTCAGATTCTCAGAATCCATCATTGTCTTCTGTTGTTCCCCTCAGCCTTGCACCCAGAGTCTGGAGACTCTGAACCTCGGCCATAACTCGGTAGGTAACGAAGGGGTCCACAAGCTGAAGGATGGACTAATTTCCAACCGCTCTGTGCTCAGGCTGGGCCTTGCTTCTACCAAACTGTCCTGCGAAGGTGGGAAACTAATGCCTGTGCACCTCTGCTTCCATTTTTGTGCTGGATTTTTGTTTTGCTGACATCTTGGTGCCATCCTTTGCTGTAGGCGCTGTGGCTGTGGCTGAATTCATCGCTGAGAGCCCCAGACTGCTGCGTCTGGACCTTCGAGAAAATGAGATCAAGACAGGTGGACTGATGGCCCTGTCTCTTGCTCTTAAAGTCAACACATCTCTGCTGCGTCTCGACCTCGACAGGGAGCCCAAGAAAGAAACTGTGAGCATGGGGAAAAGGAATGTGAGGAGGGGATAGAGAGGAAGAGATGAAGGGCTGAGTATAGTCTGAAACGAACATGTCCAAGCACCCGCTTCTCTTAAATCTGCACTGGGGTACTGATTAGGCGGACATGTTCTCATATGTTTGTCAATATATGATTGGCCAGTCCTGAGCACACAGATTCTACCATATGGATGAAATTTAAGTCAAGCTGACCTTTGTGACCATGCAAATGTGAAATTTTGGCTTTAAAGAATAACTCTGCCTGTAGTCTGTATTCTTCTTTTGGGCAACAAATACCATAAAAAGACCAAAACCAACAATGGATAGATGACAGTGGTGAGATGATGGGAAGGAAGATGAAGGAAGAGATAGATGGAGAGTGACAACAAAAAGCCTCCTTAACCCTTAGGCCAACCCTTAACCCTTTAGACCCTTAGACGTCCCCAGCCTCAGTCTTTTAAAGAAAATTGTGTTTTGAAAGAAGGATAATATTACTGACTAAAACATCAGGCTGAAGGAAGGCACTGACTCAAAAGCGATTAAAAGAGCTTTAATTCAGTTCTGTTTAATCTGATATTCCTGTGGCTTAGGTGGCATGTTTGAGAGCTAGTTTTTGTCTCTCAGGTGAAGAGCTTCATTGAGACCCAGCGTGCTCTGCTGACTGAGATCCAGAATGGTTGCAAGAGGAACTTCATCCTGGCTAAGGAGAAGGAGGAAACTGAGCAGAAGATGAAGAAGTCAACCTCCATGGCTGAAATCGCCACAGAGGATGGAACCGGGGAAGAAGAGGAGGAGGAAGAACCAGTATCAGCAGAGAGAGGTGACAGAGAGGGGAATGAAGCAGAAGAAGAGGAAGAGGCTGAAACAATAGGAAATGTAGGACAGACAAGCAGCCAGTCAGGATCAAGCTCTGAGACAGACATTTCTCAAATGAACCTGGAGTCGGACTCAGATACTGAGGATGAGGAGGAAGAGGAGGTGGTAACAAAGTCCTCTTCCACAACAAACTCCTCCACTCACTCAAATCCGATTCCTCCTCATACAGAGACAGGGGTTGCACAGCCCCCCCTCGGTGCCTCCTCTCCATCCCCGTCCCTGTCTCTCTCTCCTGCCTCTCCTCACATTCCTGGAATCACTGTCACAGAACCCACAGCTTCTCCTGTCACTCCTCCATCACCAGGTCGCTGTATATCTGTCTCAAGTCCAGGGAGGGGTCATAAGATCTTCATGGTCACTCGGGTTGATAGCCTTCCTGAGCAGCAGCAACTACACCACCAGATAAATGCACCCGGAGCTATCAGCCAGACTAAAGAGGCCTCAGAGAAGCCTGTAGACACGAATACACAGCCCACGTTACAGCAGACACAGCCATCGCCTGCATCTCAAACACCCTCACAAACACAGCTGACACAGGAGGACGTAAAGGAGAGCTCACCTGCTCCATCAATGGACTGTAAACTGGCAGAGCAGAGTCCTATAGCACGCTCAGAGTCCATGCAAAATGCTACACAGACCCACACACTAGAGTTACAGTCTTCAAGTGAACCCATAGAGAATGTGACAGCTAACACTTTAAAAGTGGCAGATCCAAGTCTACAAGCACCAGCTATGTTTTCAGATTCTTCCCCAGCACAGTTGTTTCAGCCCACTGAGGAGGTAACAGAGAGCACTACGAGCCCCCAGCCTGAGCCCACTTGTGTAGAAGAAGAGAAAGTTCATTTAGAAGATGACACACAAATAATGCCCCCGGGTAGCACAGAAGAAGAGTGTAAACAGTTAGACAAAGTGAGTCAGACCCAGATGAGTGTCCCTGCAGTACAAACCCAGCAGCAGACATTACCATCTGCTCGTGAACAGCTACAGAATGAACTAGCATCTGTGTCAGAGATGACGCAGTCACTGAACCAAATAGAGAAGGAAGACAAAGATGAGGTACTTTCACAGCAGGAGAAGCAAGAAGCACCAGCTAGCGTGTCAGAAACCGAAGAACCCAGTTCAACAGAGAAAGAGCACAGCCTGCCAAGCCAGGAGGAGCCAGGTCCAAAGCCTGTTGACTCTGCACAGACTGATCAACATGCACCGCCTCTCAGCGAGGGTGGAGCTCAGACGTCAAATCCTCATGCAGGAGAAACCTCAAATAGTCCTGATCCCACTGCAACTGGGCCTGAAGCTGCTGTCAAAGTGAATCCAGACTCACCGGTTGAAGAGGAGGAATCAGCCAACAAGAGCTCTGCAGAAGAGGGCAAGTGTTTTGATGAAGCTCTTGAGGGCGAAGGAGTTGGTTCAGCTCTGCCTAATGGTCTGAGGCCTGAGTTCTCCATCCATCTTCTTGATGCTGAGAGCCCCAAGTCTGGCAGCTGTGTCATGGAGCATGGTGAGTCACTGTAATCGCTGACCTTTGCTGTACTACTTCATATCACACATGCAGTTGGTTTGGGGTGTGAGAAGCCTGTAAGCCTGTTTGTTAACATGTGGTGTGTGTCACTTATATACAGTGAGTGTCGGCTGTGGGCAGGAGCTGGAGGAGCTGTTGCTAGAAGCCAGTTTGGACACAGGAAGAGATGCACCATGAGGTTCTGAGGTAAACACTCTGTGTGCACTTAAAACAGAAAATCAGGCAAAGATTTCTCACCATCCTGTGGATGTGTAAAGTAGGGATGTCCCGATCCAGTTGTTTTGGCCCCAATATTGATCTGATTCCTTTAATATTAAATACATACTGTCATTCTTTCCTTTAATAATATCCCATTACTTCACAATATTTACTCACTGTGATCTTAACATCCTTACCAGGAAATACATCATCCAAAGTCATTTTTCACTCAAAAATGATGTTAAAACATAAGCTTTATACAACTTTAATCATGTGTAATTAGTTTGGACTTTTCTCTTCTTCTCACACAGGGACTGCAAGGACACGAGAAGACGTGACTGGTTTCCCCACAGTGTTCTTGTTGTTTCTTTAACTTTACCACCAACATGACCTTTACATAAAGGACAGAAGACTTGCTGTTGCAGTCGAAGCTTGATACACAGAAATACAAGCAAATTATGGAAAAGACACAAAGACAAAATCAATATCTCGAGCTTGGCTGTGACTGATATTAATATTCTACATCCACACTACATCGGCCACTGAAACACACATGCATATGCCATTGAGGAAGAGGGGGGTAAAAGATAAATCACTACATTTTCACTACATTTTACACACCTAGCAACCGCCTGAGTGAGAAAGAACAGGGACAACGGAGGGAGGATAAAACAATAACCAAAGACAGAACATGGACCTTTCTCACAGCCTCTACTCGCTTCTCTTGTCTGGGAAGTAACTAGCAAATAAAGTTCTTGTCCTAACACACACATGCACAAAGGCATAACGGTGATCATGAGAAAAGCAGGGCTGATGGCACACTCAGAACGACTGTGACAGACTCTGCTGAGCAGACCTGCTGACTTGAACACATGCTCTAGAAATGTCAAATGGTTTTATATCTAAGGAAGCTGAAGATGTTAACGTGTGTTCAGATGTCAATGTTTTACATGTGTGTCCCCCACCACCCACTAGTCTCCCTCCTTGTGGAGAGAAAACACTGTAAGGGACCGCTGCCAAAGTGACCTCCCTCTTGGTTTTTTCTTGTCCTCTGCTCACTTTGGCCCCTCAGGAATCAACGTTCCCTCTCGGGTCATTCTCCTCAGATCTGATGTGGAGGAGTTGCAGCTGTCTCCCACCGCCTGGCTCTGCTACAGCAGAGCTTTTTGAAAGTCACAAAGTTGCAAAACCCTCTGAACTTCTGCAAATATCAGATAGTAAAGCTGTTGTTTGGTTATGTACAATTTAAAGAGTTTTGTTTTCCTTGATTCTCTGCAACTTCAGACACTACTACTGCTTTGAGCAACCAGTCATTGTTGTGTGTCTGTCAGCATCTCCTCTCCTTCCTCCTGTCCCTCAGTCTTCTGCTGGTGCTTTGTGCCACCTCCTCTCTCTGCTCCTTTTTGTCATGTTGCTTTCAAACTCACCACTTCACACTCAGTCTTTGTTGTTCGACCGCTTTGAGAAATCAGTTCTTTTGTATTTATTGAATGACTGTATGAGCCTTTTCTGGTTTATTTTTTTCTTTGCCCTATTGTCATGTTTCTTTTCCTCTTGGGTTTATTTTTTAAAGATTAATCCCCTTTTTGATGTATATTTCAGATTCAAACTTAGAGCAGATATTTTGTTTTTGGAGTTTTGGGAGGGGGGAGCAATCTATGTTGGGGGAAAGGTAAGTATAATTGAGTTGTTGGCTGTTGGTAGCAGTTGGGGTGCAGTAATGAAAGCAAATACAAGGAAGTGGTAGACCTAATCAAAATCCTTGTTTTTGCTTTAACACTACTCTGCTGGGTGAAGATTTGGCCACAAGGGGGCGCCAGTGGTTGTGGCCTTTTTTTTTCCCCACAGTGGGGACAGATCTAAAAGAAACCACAGCATCATGTCCAACGCACTGGTTTCTGTTCAGATCCAACTGTCCTGAACTATCCAGAGCAAGGCTTTAACACATGACATGTATGTCTGTGAAGAGAGCTGCTCAATCTTTCCTGAGGCAGATCCAGGCAGGTGTTTAGTTGTTGTTGTTTTTTTTTCTTTTTAAAGGGGGTCATGACCCTCCTGTTCCTCTCCACCCAACAGGTAGTGTGCCCCCACTGTTTGTAATGCTTTAATTTTTAGAATATTTTTAATAATTTGTTAAATTAATTGAAATGTGCTGGTAATCACAAAGTCATGTATGGCTAAATTTGTTCCTCAAATAAATGCATGTAATGACTAATAATATGACTGAATATTTGACTGGAGTTGCTCAGTTTCAGACTTCAGAATGTCTTTAACACTGCAGGTAAATACGGGAGAAAAAATGTGTGAAGAATAAACTTCGTTGGGATATTTGGATACAGCTGGTGTCTTAACTGGGTTTAGGAATGTGCTGGCATGCCAGTAGAACAGTCAGGATTTATCCATGGTGTCAGTCCCTCTGTGGCCTGCTCAATCACAAACTCCTGCACACTGGCCACAAGAACAGGGATTGGTGGGACCACAGCGTCGTCGTGAGATCGTGGGTGCTGAGCGGGAGACGGAGAAGGTGCATCGCCTGGACTGAGCTACAGCTAAACCTGATTGTAGTGATCTTAGGCAGATGTTGTTGTGTTTAGACAGAGCTGTTTCCCTCTGTTTCCAGTTTTATACTAAACTGCTTCCCGTAGCTTCATGTTTACTTCACACACTCCAGAATGGTGTCAGGCTGTCATTTAGTTCTTGGCTGTGAAAGTGAAGCGTTTTTCCACAGATGTCTAGATGTTCCTTTATCTCTTTTATTAAGCAGCCTTAAAGTGAGACTGGAAGTTTTGAAATAGAGTAACACGTTGCTTCATGTGGCTTATGGTTAATAATATCAGGTAACTGTATATATTTTAATATTTACTATTGTTCTGTCATTGCCATTTGTGACCTAAGTGATCGCAGATCAGTAAAAACATCAAAGGCTCGCTATCAAAGTTTGGAAGGTGCATTTTATTCCACATGGTCTTAAAGTGTCACATATTCGTCATCAGCTTGTTTTGTGACATTTTATGATGTTGGATGATGAGGTCTGGGGATTTGAGCATTTTGCTGCACAGCACGACCTTTTGTGAAGCATGGAGGAAGCGTAAGGAGTTCAGGGGGCCTCGACAACACTGCATCATGTTCAGTTCTAAAGCTCTGAACCAATTCAAGCACCAGACACATTCTGTAAATGTTACAAACATTGGTCAAACAGTAGATCAACAGAACGGACACCCTTCAAGTACCAAAGATAAAAATTCTAAACTACTACACACTACCATGTGATTAATGTAAAGTCATATCTACCTTAACTTTTATGGACTTGCGAGCCCTTAATGTAAGGTCACATCTACCCGTGACCTCCTCATGACATCATAACAGCCTGCATAGAGGAGTTGAGAACATGAGATTGTGATGTAGGAAAAAAAATAATTTTTCCTTTTCTGGACTAAATATTGCAACATAAAACTGTTGCAATATTTAGTTTTTTATTTGTTATATGTAATGATCCTGTATGGTGATCCCTGTTATGGTCGGAAACCAGGCAGTAAACTAATGAACACTCTCAGACTTATTCCCTGTGTGATCTATTGCTGACTTCATCTCCATAAGCAGCATAATGGAAGCCTGTAAAATAAGTTGCTCTGATCTGGGCATACTTTGGTAGCTAATAGAAAAATGAATGCTGCCATTTTCATTCCTCTTAGCAGTGTTATCTTTATACTGGTCTATTACTATTAGTGATATGTTTATTTTATAACAGCATTAAAGCTGTTATGAAAGCAACTATGTGTCCTCCTCATTCCAAATATAGCCCATGATCGTAAACACTCCCATCGACGTTCATTTATCACCACATCTGGCTCCGTGCTGGGGAGATTGACCGCGATAACGCATATAAATGCGTCTGCGTGATCAGCCTGGTAAAAACTTTGCAAGTCCTTTAAACTATCGAAAACACAAATATAAGATTTGCTTTACAATATGAACTGATTTAATTCATATAAGTGATACAAAAGCCTTTTGTAAGTGGAATGTGACAGTTCTTTCAATGGTATCTGTGTAGAGGTGAAGCAGTGGCAGGCTAAATTACTGACAGATCAACGATTGCCATGAATGTATTTATCCAGCTTCATATCAAATCAAGCCTGGTCAGCTCAAATACAGTAGCAAACTGATATGACTGATTTCTATGAGAAATGCAGCCCAGATACATTTTCAGGTACAATATTTAAATAATAGTGTGGAGATCAACACAGATCAGCATGTTATCACTCTCTCTGTCATATAGAAGAATGTCATTAAAACATCAGCTGCTCTGGACACTGAGTAGAAGCTGAAACATTTGGTTTGATGACATTTTATTAAATCGAGACCAGGTCTAACAGGATGCGAGTGCTTCTGTGCCTTCCTGTACAGACTGAAGGCTGGTGAAAAGCTCCTGAACTGTTTGTCTTGACTGTGGTGTTTTGTCTTCGCCACCTGCTCTCGTCTGCTGACCAGGCGAGGTGCAGTTCATCTCAGACGAGTCTATTATCTAATAACGACTTTAAATCTCATCCAAGGACAGTGTCCCAGGTAATAATCAACAAAGCCCACAATTCACAGTTCTTATTTTCTATACAATAAAATTCCCAATGAAAAATATTTGAATTGCAAGATCTGTTAACTTTTGTGATGTTATTTTTCAAATTTTCGAACATGACAAACCAAAGTTGTTGCATTAAATGAGGTTCTACGTGAAGTAAACCCTACTGTGTCTAATACCAGTTATTTTATGACAAGAACGACTTTGTCCTCATTGAAGTCGAACTCATGCAGAGGGCTTGGTGTGTTAAAGAAGAAGAAACGGTTCTATTTGATTTCTGTATTTCTGCACAGGCGAATGTATAAAGCCTGACACTTCATTTCCTGTCCTGCACTTCAGTAAGTAGATATGTGTCACTGCCTCACCAGAGGTGAGCAGGATGTCATCTCTCTCTGTCATCATCGCAGCTTTGGCATTGAACTCCAGCTCTCCCTCTTTCAGTTCTGACTCATCGGTCTAGTCTGTCTGTCCCTTGGCATCTCACATTCTTTCATCTTTTGCTTATTTCTCGAACATTTCTCTTAGAACTGAAATGATCTGATCTCTGTCCCTCTCAGTTTGAGTTTGTGTTGTCCTTTTTATTCCATCAGTCTCTCCCTCTCTAGGTATCTCCTATCCAGGCTAGTTAGCAGTAAATGTGTCACTGTACTTTGACCACAACTGTGATTCCATGAGCTATTCAGTGCTGTTTTAAAATAAGATGCAACAAGTTTAGTCAGTGGTGTGTGAGGCCTTGAGTGCAAGGAAGAATCAACAAATTTAGACAAAATTCTGAATGTTGTCATGCCCAGAGGTTGTAACCAAGCAATGACACATGTCATTCTCTCATGTTATGTGAAAAACAAATCAGCACGTTTGGGTGTGACAAAATTGTAACTGAACAAAACAGACCAATGATACATGACATTCCCTCAAGCTTTGGTCAAAGTTCGGTCAGCGGTGGCTGATGTATGATTGGACAGATGGTCTGAGGCCGATCCATCGTCCCACCCATGATATATTCATCACAGAAAGCAACAGTGAGGAGAACTAGCGACAGGAAAGTGAAACCTCCTTTCACTCTGAGTCATAGTCTGGTTTATTTACTAATCATACCTTTGTTCAGTATCTGTTCTAATCATCCACATGAAGACAGAAATAAGTAGCTACAAGTAGAAGAAAAGATTTTAAAGTCATTTTTCAATATTCAAGGTTTCAAAGTAGGATGGGAAATATTTTGATATTGAATGAAGCTGAAAGAAGTTTTCATATGTAGCTTTCATAGCTTGTTAATCTTATAGTGTAATATAAATGTGTTGTCTGGGAGGTAGCTGTGGCTCAGTGGGTAGGGTGGTAGTCTCCCAACCGGAGGGTTGGAGGTTTGAATGAGGGTGCCTGCAGTTCACATGTTGAAGTGTCCTTGGGCAAGACACTGAACCCTCAAGTTGCCCCCGATAGTTACAGCCATCGGTGTGAGCTGGCGCTGCAGATGACTGCCTCACTTCTGTACCGGCTACAAGTTCTTTGTGTGTAACATATTTGGCCAATAAAAGGTGATTATTATTATTATGATGAGTCTACCGAAGCCATATAAGGGCCAGAGAACCTCTCTGGTAGTGTCACTTTATCTAATATCTGCCCATCAACATCTCATTGAGATAGCTTTTGTCCTTGCACATTGCAACGCTTTTGTGTGGCTCACTGAGCTTTAATCAGTGGCTCACATGTTAAACACTTCCTGAAGAAAATGCAGCATGATTGTGAGATGTTAAAGCCTTAGATCTGTGTAACTGGTATCATGGTGGTGCCACTGATAACATGTTACAGTACATTGAACACATCCCGATGGGAAGACACTGTGTAAGAAATGCATGTAAAAAAAATGATGATGGCCATTTGCTTGCAGCAGTCACACTAATAATAACATGACAGTTCAGCCACATAAGAAATATGAGTATCTTTAGTAAAGGGTTAATTGAAAAACAATTTGTGAATTACGCAAGTACAAGTGAGACAATGGTAGTGTATGAGTTCATGTTTTCACAGTGCAGTCCCCCCTATAAAACCAAAAAGTATATTGTAATATATGAAATCTAAAATGTGAATCTCTGAGTGTCTGTGTGTGTGTGTGTGTGTGTGTGTGTGTGTGTGTGTGTGTGTGTGTGTGTGTGTGTGTTTATGTAGTACATTTTAGGATATACTGTAGGAACAAAACTAACTGTAACTTTCCCACTATGAACACTGTTTACAGGATCCTTGCATTCTGACATATTGGACATACAGTATATTAATTATAATTTTAATGCAGATTATATTTTTGTCACATTTTCAGAATTACATTCAAATATAAACAGATATCCAGAGCAACGCACAGAAGCCATTTGGAATGCACGTCAAAGGACTAGAATTCATGATGATGTCACTAAGAACCTACCTAACTGACTCAGTCTAACTAGCTGGCCAGACCATTTCACAACAACTTAGCATGTGCGCGTTCCTGTGATTACAGAGATATTCTGAATGACAGAAAACAACACACAAGTGAACAATATTTGAAGAATATTTGGAAGAAACCAGTGGAAAAAATGGAACTGAACTTCCTGGAAGTAGAACCATCAACCACAAGTTTTTACTATAGTGTCCTGGAAGATCAAGTAAGGACACATCTGAAGGACAGCGAGGTGAGGCTCACCGAAGGTACTGAGGGGAGACTCAACTTGGATATTCGAGAGAATTTGTTGGTAATGTACCTAGATGACAGAGAGGTGCTGGTGGATGAGGTACGCCAGCTGAAAGATGAAAGAGAACGCGTGTGAAAGAGACAGGCGTTCTAGAAAATGAACGCCTGCATTTCCATCGGGAGAAAACCTCCCTGCTGGAGGAGCTTAACGCTTTCAAAAATGAGAACAACGACCTCCTTGCAGCACTAGAAAAAACTTGAGAAAAGCTCCTGAATGGCCGCCAACAATGGGAGAGAAAGAAATTCTCCCTCATGGAAGACATGAGGAAATGTAAAGCTTCCAATGTGACTGATCTTAATGAGATGGCAGCTGATTTAAAGAAGGCACAAGAGCTGGCAAAGACCTTATATCTCCAGTGGCAGGAGGACAAGGTTTCCCTCCAGGCAGAACTGGAAAAGTCCCAGAGCTGCAGCCCTGCCCAACATGATGAGATTAATCATCTTAGAACTTGTCTGAAAAGTGCAGAGCAGCAGCTGGACACTGTATGTCAACAGTGGTACTGGGACAGGCATTTCCAGCAGATGTTGCTGAAAGAATCCCACAGTTCCAGGCTTGCTCACCTGGAGATGCAGAAGAAAGAGAGTCACACATTTGAAGCTGCTCTAAAGATGCTGAAAGAGCAGCTGGATAACGAGCACCTCCAGTGGCAGCAGGAGAAATCCTCCCTGCTGCAGAAGATGGAGCAATCCAGAGCTCCAGTGTGGGAGACTGAGAGCATCCAGGATCTGCAAGTCAGACTCAAGGGAGAGAAAGAGTCCCTTCAAAAGGAACTGGAGGCAAAGACGTTAGCCGCCAGAAGCGCCCAGGCCTCCCAGAAAGCCCAGCTGGAGAGAAACACAGAGTGGAGACCAAATGGATTGGCGCTCAGAAAGGCAGAAGCTCTGCAAACAGAGCACGGCCACTTGCTGGCACAGTGGTTAGCACTGTTGCCTCACAGCAAGAAGGTTCCTGGTTTGGGACCTTTCTGTGCGGAGTGTGCATGTTCTCCCCTGTGCTTGCTTGGGGTCTCTCCAGGTGCTCTGGCTTCATCCCACAGTCCAAAGACATGCAGGTTAGGTTGATTGGCCACTCTAAATTGCTCACATTAGTGCCTATTTATATATCTACTGTATATCCCAATTTGAGTTGCATCAGTTGATTCGCTGTGGCGACCCCTAATGAGGCATCTGTTGCTGATCTGAATCTGTGGGGCCAGCTGAAACATCTCCATCCACACAGACTGTAACCCCGTCATCTCATTTTGTTCAGTCATTTCTCTTCTTTTGTGCTGAGGTGACACAGTGAGTGCATTACTACTGACTGAATTAACTTATTTTATTGAGTTTCACAATAAATTAATCTTGATTGTCTAAAGGCATGTTTTATAAATATGGCAGCTAGTATACACATAGTAGACAATAGCCCAGTGGCCCTTAACGTTTATGGACTTGTGAGCCCTTAAAATCATTCAAAGTGGTTTCTTTTTGTAAACAAACATATGATATGACCTGATGATGTAATCTTGTTAACACAGTGGGGATTTAATTAGTGCACGTTAGCTTCAGTGGACCTGCTCAGAGACTGTATGAAGTGTGGGTGGGCTGTGTGATCAAAGGTATTTCCTTCCACCTATGAGCTGGGGAGGGAATGCAAACAGGGATGACCGGGCAGAGGATAACACCACCCACCCCCTCCTCCGCTCACATGACTGTGATTAGAGCAGAGGAGCCGTGTGGTGGGACAGACAGAGCGAGAGAAAGCGAGCACAGTGACTGGCATCTTTCTGATATCGGAGCACAGGGCACACCAGGAAGCTAGCTTGCCTTTGATCCCTGGCTGAGGCTCATCCACTTCTCTGGGGTAAAACAAAAAGCATAGACTGTCTACATTTGTGCTGCTTTTCCTAATAGCTTGTTTTGTGTTTGTCTGCATGCTGGTTTATTCATGATATGGAGTAGCCTACTGAAATCTTTACTTAAGTAAAAGTATAGAAACACTCCCTTAGAAATCCCACATTCAAAATTGTACCTCAGTAAAAGTATTATAACAGTGAGTATGCAGAATGTCCTATTTCAGAAAATGTATATTATTGGACTTTAAATATTGACGCATTCATGTAGTAATGATAGTAAAGGTGGAGTAATTTCTATTACTTTGTATACTGCTGGGTCGCTTGTGAATTTCTGCCTGGTATTGGAATAATACATCATAATTTATGTGCTGTTTATGAAATAAGTTCAGTGAAGTAAAAGGCTGCAAAGAATTGTTGTGGGCTGAAGGTTTAAAGGAGCAAAAAATAGGAATACTCCACTGAAGTACAAGAACCTCAACAACTACACAAGAGTAAATGGTGGTCCAGTCAGGCTCTGTCCTGCTGTGGCACACTAATGGATTTTAAATTAATATTAAAATCAGTGGAAACTCAAGCACTGTACTTAAGTGCACTTTTTACATACTTATGAGGTCAGTTTAATTAACCCATAAGATTATTTTGACACATTATCTTATTTATATATACGTACTTCCAGCCTGCATTTCATCAAGGTTAAAATTCCAGATTGTCCTCCTTGGTTGTCATATAAAAAAAAATACATGATGGAAGTAATTCGGTTTCTCTTGTTTGTGTTCCAATTATTTTTATTTTATTGGTTTTTCAAATTATATTTACACAGACTTGTTTCACTTTATTGTTTTAATAAAATTCAAAATAATTCATAATATAAAACATTCACACAGAGGTTGTGATTCTGTGTGTGTGAATATATTAAGTAATCTAGTATGGTGTGCTTTAAACTCTCAGTTGCAGGAATGAGGGTGCTGCACTGGTGCATGCTGGGAGTGACCTTCCTGCTGCTGATGTGCGAAGTTGCCATCAGTCAGCTATGTAATTCCCTCATCACCCTGGTAGATGGTTTCCACACGCTCTTCATCCTCCTTTGCATGGCTCTTCCTCCTCCTCCCAATGCAGGTGTAATGAAACCTCTGCTCTCCTCTTTGGACCCCCCTTCACCTCATCCACATGTTCCTCCCATCCTGCCTGCAGAGCTATCCATCGAGCCTCTACTTAGCTTTCAGACCACCACTGGTGGGTCATCCAGCCCAGATCAACCTCCTGCTCCTCAGCTTACCCATGAATCACCCTCACCAATTAACTCTCAGCAACCCCCCTTCCCAAAAATCTCTCCTCCAGTGCCTGGCTGCGGCGTGTCCTACACCGGCAGCAGGATTCAGCCTGTGGGGGCGTTCCTCTCCACTCTCCTCCTGGGTTCTCTGTGCATGTCCTACTTAATGGATATCATCAGCTTCTCCCTGGAGCCACGCCACATACAGCGCCCCCTGCTGCTCGTGGTGGTTGGATCTGTCAGTCTGCTCCTTAAGATGCTGCTGCTCCAGCTGTACTGGGATCAGCTGCAGGACGGGAGGGCCAGAGTCAGCAGGCGGCCAGAGACCAAACCTCACCTTGAAGTTACCTACAAAGGTAAGTGTCCCACTGAAGAGGCAGATCACATGTTGACTGTGAGAGCACAAACATGATGCATAAACATGTGCTGGCATTGATTTCTATAAGACATTCTTATGAAGAGTTGTGACTCATAGCTTTATCAGCTCAGTTAGAACAGGATTCGAGCTGCCAGGTTGTGGCTGCTTTAACTCGCCACCACTGCACTCAGTTTGTCTGCTCAGGTCTGGCGCTCTTCATAGACAACATTCCAAAAGAGCTGTGGGAGTACAGCTGCAGGCATCTGGACCAGAATGTGTTTATTAAGAACCTCTTAATATTCATGACAGAAAACATTAAGGAAAATAAAGATCCCTCAGCATTTGTAACTGCAGAAACCTATGACCTAACACCAGACATATGGTGAGTAACAGAACACAGATGTTATCAAAATCAACCATGACTTGTGAGTTTAACTTAGTTGGTGTTAAAGCATGTATTTCTACTGGTGTTATGTAATCATCTTTTATTACTGGAGAATCAGCGAGCCTGCCCGGGCGATGGTGCTGTTCTGACAGACTTCACTTTGAAGTAGCTGCCAAAGTGCATTCAGCTGTGAGGAAGGTCACATGGTGTCATGTTTGCTTTTTAGTCTTCATTCCTTCATTCATTCCTCTCTCACAGTCTTTGCTGTCGAGGAAACCAAAGGTCAGGCTGAGCCAGAGCAAGCCGTTAGCGGCCTCCTTGGCGCTGACTCTCACACCCTACGTCAACAGCCAGAAGCCCACCTGCATGCAGCAGCTCCACAGCACGAACGGGACTTTGAAGTGGTGAGCGATGCAGCAGATCTGAAGGCCTCCAAGTGGACAAGTCATTCAGAAGACAACGGGGAGACATCTAGAGACGGTGCCTGCATGAAACACACTGGTAAGAGAGTTCAGCTCCTTGAACTATGACCTTTCTCCCTTAAAAAAAGAGCCTCATGAAAAAGTGTTTTTGGGGATAGAAAAGCTGTGTTTTTACAGGTAAAATGACTTTTTTTTTTTTAAATGAAATGCATACTGACAAAACCATCTTGCCACAAAGTTCATTAGCCGTTGTTCAGAGCTTTTACTCGTATCACAATCTTCCTGCAATAAACATCAGTTTGAGTATTTTACGTGAGATTTTGCAAACGTTTGCACAATCTCGATGCATACATATCAAAAACATAATAATGTGATGGCAGTGATAGTATTGGGAGAATGTTTTAATCCAGATCTAGTAGATAAAGCACAGTGTGAAAAAGATCAGCTCGACTCAACCTGTGTTTCCAGAAAGTGTGGTGTTTTAAATTCACATAAAGGTTGTGTACCAAATGTTGTGTTACTCTTTAGTGGAGGAAAATGTGATGTCTTTTACTTGTTTTGTGCCCCGTCAGTTTTCTTTATGGTCCATCACCAGCCAATGTTCTGTAGCTCTGACTCCACATGTAAAAAAAAGTCTTGAAACAGTCATGTTTTACTGTTTTCTCCCATTTCAGAGAGTCCAACTGCAACTAAACCATCCCCGGTCTGCACGTCAGCACATCACACTGATGACCCTCACCCAGGCAGCCAGTGGCCCATCTGCCCCTTGTCCCTGATCCTTGTCATTCAGGGCCTTTTCACTTCTACCCTGGCCCTGGTCAACAGCCTGGTGATGCTGCTGATTGGCCCGCGGTGCCTGCACAGCTCTGGAACTTGCAGCCTGCTGGTTTACCTGGATCCTGGTCTCTCCCTGCTGGCTGTGATCACACTGATTGCCAGAGCAAGGCCACAGGTCAGGGTCTGTGTAGTTTAGGTGAGAGCCAGAGCAAAGCTCTTATCAAGACCAAATTAAGAGTTCAGCCCACTAATTACAAGCAGCTTTGGTAGCAGTAAATACCTAATGGATATCTATGTGTAAGTACAAAGGAAGCAGACAGAAGCTTAGGCAATAAGGGGCAGCAACTTTGTGTTTACACTGAATGTTTTCATTGCTCAATACCTAATGTATTTCATAATTGCAGGGTGCAGTGTTTTTATTATTGGATAACAAGGCAGGACCAACAGGGTAACTTCTGATATTGAATGTGAAAGTTCAACAATTTGTATTCCCTTTTTCTCAGAATCATTATATATTTAGGTCTAAAAATATTACTTCAGAAATGTGCATGTAACTTTGCAATATAAGACATTTTTAAACACTAAGGTACTTAAATATTAATATAGTTTTCTAACATTGTATTTCTGTTTAACAAAACATTATGCTACCTGGGAAGAACAGTTGCTTTTATAGCTGTAGCTACAAAGTAGTTTGCTGTTTTATGAATGTTTGTGTTTTAAATGATTAAACTGTTGACTGTAAAACAGGGTGTTCCACTGTTCACCACCTTTTCATGTATTATACTACAGCTTCTGTGAAAGCACATCTAGCCTTAGTGTGCTATTATTTATTTAGGTGGCTCATATTTGCTGCAGCTGTATCCAAACCTGCACTGGCTGTTGCCACTGTCACACCAGTACATCTCCTTTCCAGATGTTCAGGTATGGACTGCTGCTGCTTCAGGCTGCACCGCCGCACATTTGTGTGTCTGACATTGAGCAGAGGATTGTGAGCGTCCCTGGAGTGCGGGCCGTGCACGACCTCCACGTGTGGCAGTTAACTGAGTCATTAATGGTGGCCTCTGTCCACGTCCACTGCCACCCTGGGTTTCCAGCGCACAGGTGATGTGGAATTCCCTACAATTCAGTTGTATTTGTATAGCACCAAACCACAACAAAAATCACCTTACACAGTGAGACCTGGACCTTACTATTATTATAGAGAAAAACCCAACAAAAGAATATGACTTCTGTCCTGTTGGTTCTGGATGTAGACACCATTAATGTCAATATATTTACATTAGTATCAGTACAGAGTTTAAGGATGTTTCTTGTTGCTGCATCTCCACCTGGAGATATCATGAGATGGTTCAAGGAAAACCACTGCTTACACCTAACACAGAGCAACCCAAACATTCATATGTTTGCTGCCATTCACTGATCTCCACTATGTCCTGAAAGAAATATCTGACTCTCTGTGTTCTCCAGCTAGATGCTGGTCTTTCTATTTATTGGTGCTGAGCAGATTGTGTACAGTGAGTTTTTGGAGATTTTTCACTGGAAGCAGCTGCAGCCAAACAACCCGAGAGAGCACTGAGAGGGAACCAAAACGTTAGAGCTGCAGGCTGGAAAACAATTAGCTGAAACACTCCATAGAGATGAGTGGAACTGCAGTGTCTGAGTCTCTGCAGTGCACGAGCCATTTAATCTGTCGCTAATGTAAACACTCCAATGAGCTTTAAGTCTCGCCTGGTGTGGCTTTAAATTTTGAGAATTAAGTTTCTTGCAGTATATTGCCGACATCGCTCAGTTTCTCCTTAAAACAATAATAGATTTTTTTCCATGTTATAATGTCATAGGTTTCTTGTTATTACTAAATCCCCATTATAAAAACAAATCATTTTATCTTATAGCAAGAAACTCTGTTGTTATTACATGAGGATGTGAAACTTTTCTCATTCTAACATCATAATGCCACAAGTCATATGAACCCAAACTGCTGTAATCATTCCTCCTGTTCATACTGGTGGTTAAACCTTCCTGGTGTAATATAAATAATGGTGATCAAGCTCTTCTTTGTATGTGTTCAAAGGTTTATCTGAAGTTAATATGAGGCTTTAGCCATCAGCCTCGCTTTGTGTTACTATCTCTCCACTGCAGCTTAAGAGGGACACATACAAACTGATGCTAAAAAGACTAACTTTGGAAGATATCCACTAGATCTGGTTTATTCAGCCAATAAAGCCTCTAGGGGTGGTTGCTGACTGGTTATCATAAATATGTTTTTGTCAGATTAAAATAATATAACTCATTACTGCAGCCTCATTCCATATGTGTGCAGGTGTGCTGATCTGATGTTGGCAGTCACTAAGGTGCTGCAGAGTGTAGGAGTGAGCTGCTGCACCGTTCAGCCAGAGTTTGCTCCCTGCTCTGGGTCCTCTGCAGGCAGGGGGGGTGACGCCTCCCCTGTTGTCCACAGAGAGGACCCGTCCCCACCTCCTCTCCTGGCCTGCAGCCTCACCTGTGGAAAAGCTTGCACTGGGAGCATGTGCTGCTCTCCCCTAGAGAAGGAGACCGGCGGCCTGCTGGCACCACCAGCTGGGGAAATCGACAACACCTTTGTCTGAGACTGTTTTACCCAAAGAACCACGGTGGTGGAAAATAAATCAGTGATTTGATATCCATGTCCAGATGTCAGGCTAAAGATGGGGGAAGATGAGGCAGATTAGAAAGTGATCTCAAAACATGGCCTGCACATTACACTGAAGAGAGCTGTTAGTTTTATGACATCAACAATGTGGTATACCAAAGATTTGTATGCAATATTATGTAACTTTTTTTGTTAAATTTGGTCTTGTGTTGCTTCTTTTGGGCCTGTATTCTCTGGATCCCATATATGTATTGAAATAAAATTAATAATGATGCATAAATGTGACTTTATTCACTTTAAAATAATATAAATATCATTTGATCACATGCTGCAAAATTCATGTCCTGTAGCAGCAAAAAGACACACCAGGACAACAGAATAATAGTAATGTAAAAGTAATATAATACTTTGTTCATAATGAGTATGTCCTATCGGCTATAGAACATAATATAGCCTATACCTAATGGTGGAAATTAAAAAATACATTTACACAAGTGCTGTGCTTAAGTACAAATCTGGGGTAGTTTGAGTATTTTCATTTTATGTTACTTTCTGCTTTTACTTTTCTGTGTTTATCTGGCAGCTATAGTCATTTTATCGATTTATTTTACACAATAAATGTGATAGATTTATAAAGTATAGATGAAACTAAATGAGTTACATGTCAAATAAATTCAACATTGTGTTAAAGAAGCACTTACCCAGTAATACATCTGTAATAATGATGCGGTAATATAATGACATGCATGACATATTACACATTACATAAAATACAGTTATTACACTTATGGTGGCAAAAGTCATAATAAACAGACAGTAGTCCAAAAAGTGCATCCGTGGGCATGTTTCATCATAGACATTTATATCTGTCAATGCAAGAAAGACACCGGTGTAACCACTGGTTTGAGGTACTTATACTTTACTTCTTTATTAGCCTACTACTTTTTCTATTTACTGTTTTCATTGCATGCTACTTTATAGTTATAGCCTACTCCACTGCATTTCAGAGGAAAATATTACTTCACTTTACTGCCCTATATTTATCTGACAACTGTTACTAGTTACTGATTACTTTACTATTTAAGATAATACAAATAAAACACATGTAGAACATATAAAACATGATGTTTTGTCATAGATTAAACTACCCAATATAAAACTAGATCTGGAGTGATTATTTAATTGAACCTTGACTGCTTAAGTCCATTTTCATGTAAAACAACAAACATTTCATGGTACCAACTTCTCCAAAATGAGGATTATCTGCTTTTTCTTGTCTTAAATTGCTGTAATCCTTTTGAGATTTGGACTGCTGGTTGTGCAAAACACATACATTTTCCAGATGATACTATAATACTTATATATTATTTTTATTGCAGGACTTTCAGTTGTAAGGGGGTATTTTGACAGCATGGAATTAGTGTCCGACTTTTACATAAATCAAGGATCTGAATACCTGCTCCACTATTGCCAGTAAATGAAAAACATTAGGCCTAAATATGGCTCAGCATACATAATAACTGGCACACCTAAATAGGATGCAGCCATCATTAATGTCTTCAGTTACACCAGTGCATGTCCTGCTATGACGTCCCAAAATGTATTTTTATGTTAATTTATACCTTGACTCCAACCCCGCAAACCTCTACAGGATAAGCGGTGTGGATAGTGTATGTATGGATGTAATCTTTTTACCTTTGGTTGTGCGAGCTAGCTCCACCCTTCTATTGCCAGCCAACCACTCAAAAGACGCCTGCTTTGCATAAAACAGAACTGACTCAACTACACGTCTATTTTTCCTGTTTTTTTCGCCATAGAAATACTTTAGTGTATCGAAATCATAACTATATACACGACATGTCAGATATATATACAGAAATATACACCACGCTAATCATTTGAGTGGCAACACCCTGACTAAAAATACCTGGTCTGTTAGAAGGTATATAAGGATATGTGCCGCTTGCGACTAATTGCCCGGATGACCCTCGGTGGTCCGGGGTGCAGGCTTCAAACCTGTAGCTGCTTAGCGGCAGAGTGGTTCAATTCCACCTTTCGGGCGGTGTTTTGCCACAATAAAGTCAGTTAGGATCAGCAAAGACCAATGTATGGTAAGGCACTTGCATGTGAGACTCAACAAAAGATGACGACAAATCAAATAGCTCAGATCAATGCTATGTACCAAACTTATAGAAGGGCAATGCTACACTGACAAGTCAAATGTTTGGATGATGATTCATGTATTCCTATTATCTTTAACAACAGTTAAAATATTATGACTTACGCCACGAGCTCACTTCCTGTCAAGCTTTGGCTATGCACTTCACAATAAAAGTCCAAAAATGTTAAAAGGAACAATGTCACATATTTTCACGTTTTACCTTTATGAAAGTATGTTGTAATGACACAGTAAAATCAGTTAAGACAAAATGAAGATAAACACTGTTAAAATGAGATAAAACACGTACAGTAATTTGCATGAGTAGTAGTAAGGTTGTACCCTATTTTAAAATAATAGCTGTTTAAGACTGCTTTTATTTGTTTAGCATATAAGCATATTAGTAATAAACAGAAAATATATACGTTTAATGATGAATAAATAGTATAAATTTCAGTTTACGATAAATGTGATTACTATGAATGTACATCCGCATTGACCGGGAAACTGATTGACAGACATACAGTATAAGCCAATCATCTGTGAAGTTTTATCTCAGCCATCCAATAATATTCCTTGTTGGTGTAGGTTGGCCTAGCAATCCGGAAATTGGTCTGTGCAGTGAAGGATGTATGATGTCCTTGCTCCCTTAATTTTGTGATAACGTCATTTAAAAATTCATTTTGTCTTTAGCGGAGCCCGCTGGTTTTTTTTGTTAACGGGTAAGACGTGTTCTTTGTGGCATTTTTGACTTATAAAGGCCCATTTTGGTCAAATAAACCGAGGTGTAGTTGTGTTGGCCTGCACCAGCCAGCGTCCTGCTAACGTAAAGAGTAACGCTATGAGTTCACGTGTGCTTGTGAGTTTCTTTAAATTAGTATTTGTTAATCAAATAAAGACTTTAGCATGCAATTAGCGGTAATAAATTCGAATCTGTTGCTGATTGATTTAATTTATAAGCAACGCCACAAGTTATCCTCAGTTATAATTTCCGACAATCTTTTAGCGGGTTTTTAAATTGTCCTTATCAAATAAAATATGTGCGTTATAGGAGAGCATGGCTGCAGGTAGCTGTGACATGGTGAGTCCGTAAAACGACTCCTCATCAAAACTTAAGTTATTTGTTTTTGCTCCTTGTTAGTTAATAGTTTCGGTACAGTTCTTGAGAATATGAAACCGTCTGTACCATATAATACCAATAATGCAACTTGCCAAACCAGGTACAGAATGGGTTTCCCCTTTATTTACACACTGTCTGCAAGTTGTTTAAATGATAAACTAAATAAAGGTTGGTCCAGAGTTGAGTTTTGTTTATCAAACGTATTCATTTTTTATTTTACTGACCATCACCCAACTCATTTTATGCAGTAACTAAGTGATCATGTTTAGTCTTATTTTGTCTTTCAGAATTCACGTTAAAAACAAGTCACTATGCCTCTTCATAAGTACCCACCTAAAATCTGGGATGCCTTGAAACTGAAGCAGGGCATCTACACTCGTCTCCCTAAACATTATCTCCAGTCCCTCGAGCAAAAAGAGCCCACCCCGGTCCACTGGAGGCCACTGGGGGTCCAGTACCGAGCCAACCCAAAGACTGGGAAGAAGGAACGGGTGCAGGATATCCCAGTCCCCATGTACTACCCCCCAGAGTCCCAGAACGGGCTGTGGGGAGGGGAGGGCTGGATAACAGGCTTCAGATATGCCAATAATGACAAAGTGAGTCTCCAGCAAGATGGTTTTCTTTCTTTAGTTCTGTTACAGTGTATTTGCAAGACATGATGCCATAGCATAACATCCCACACAGGTTTTCACAGAAGTAACCTCTGGAAGATGAAAATGTGGACATAAGGTGACAGTGCTGGCAAAATCATCTTACTGGCTGCTCAGAACCTGTTTCACTTTTCCATACAGTATATTTAGCTGCTCTAGCCTGGGGCTTCATTTGCATTTCCCTCTCAGTGTTCTGTCAACGTCCTGTTTTCTCTTTACTGAAAGATGAGATCTCTCAAAATATATCTGACAGTAAAGAGGAGGAGAGAAGAAAATGTCTTTGTCATCTATTCTTTATGTTAACAATCAAGGTATTGTCCAAGATGCATATTTAAAATATGAATTATTGACATATGCATGTTGATAACATATTGACTTGGAAAAACAGCATATTATGTTTTTTTTTAGCGTTAATGTAGAGATGGTGATTTGGCATTAAACCCAGATTTCTTTTCATACTTTCTTTATTTTGAACAGTGCACAAAAAACGATTTTGACACATGTGGTTCCAGACACCTCATGTCTTGATTGTCCTCTGAATCATCTCGTTGTTTAGATGTCCAATCGTCTGAGGAAGACCTGGAAACCCCAGCTGTTCAAGAGAGAACTGTACAGCGAGATTCTCGATCACAAGTTCACCATCACAGTCACAGCTAGCACCCTGGACCTCATCGATGCTGCCTACGGGTTTGACTTTTATATTCTCAAAGTAGGTGAAAGCTGTGTTGGTGCATCAAAGTGCTATTTCCTATTGAGCTTTCCATAAAAATACGATGTCCAAACTCCTGTCAGACGCCAAAGGAAGACCTGAACTCCAAGTTGGGGATGGACCTGAAGAGGGCGATGCTGCTTCGCCTGGCACGCAAAAACTCAGAGCTCTATCCCAGTGACCCTGTCAAGAGAGAGCAGGTCTATGAAAAATACAAGGTCAGGCAGATGCATTTTTAGACCACTGAATGACGTTAGGTGTGTTGAGTGATTTCTGATGTAACTGTTAAAAATAACCCGAGTGTACTCACTGGTGTACAACACAAGGGCTTGTGATTATAAACCTCTTTCTGCTTCCTCCTGGCTTAGCAGCAGTTTGAGATCCCAGAAGAGGAAGCAGAGTGGTTGGGTCTGAGTCTGGAGGAGGCCGTGGAGAAACAGAGGCAGCTTGAGCACAAGGTAACAAAATCCTCAAACATAACTGCCCGAATCTCACTTCATTCAGCACTTTTGCCTCATGGAAATACTGTAGCGCACATACAGTAGGACAGATATGCACCATAATATTAATATATTATGGCAGGACCCATAATACAGAGACTATCATTTACTGCTGTAACACACACTGTGGCCCAACTGCTTTTCAACTGTATTAATTGGCATTAGCTAGCAACACAGCTATAGGTCTATACTATTGGCCGTTTTTAAGGTGGAATATTTTCTTGCATGTTGCTCAGTGCATGGGTTGATGCTGTGAATCAGTCGCTGCACCTTAAATTTTAATAGCACAACTTGAACTATTCCATTTGTTTTTATTGGTTCACTTGCAGGATGTTCACTTTACTGATGTTTGGATCTTTAAGCGGTCGGAAAAATCTACCGTTACTGAATTTCAACTGGATTATGCACATATTTTTTTCATCTCTTGGAGTAAGAAAAAGTGGTGGAGCATCATGTCAGTGTGCTCCGGCAGCACTACACTTATGCTTGTCATTTAAACATCCATGATCTGGAAATCAATGCGGTCCTTCTTTATCCTAACTTAACCAGGTTACAGGCCCCTGAGAGGTGCTACTAAACATGCTGAAGTGCTTTGTGTTTGTAATCATAACACCATATACAAAGTGTGCACCGTGTGTTCTGACTCCTGTTCCGACTGTTGTCTTTTAGGAGCCGGAGCCTCTGTTTAAGGTGTATGTTGATCAGCTGGTGGAGGAGCTGCAGATCCAAAAGCTCTCAGAGCCACATCTCATAGAGAAGTGATGATCTGAACTGTTCAAGTGAAACAGACACAGCTCTTCAGACTGAAAAAGCTTCTCCAGATGGTGGTGGGAGTTTGAGTCACCAAGGTTCAGAAACTGTTTCAGTACTGAACACACACCCAGGGGAACTTCCTACAGTGTCAACTTGTTTTTCCATCAGGGAGCGACACAGAGGATGAGGTCATGTTGGACTAATGCTTATTTATTTCAGTTCTCTTTTGTCCTCATGCATTTTACTTCCATTGGCAAGGCCCTGAAGGAATTAGGAATCGGTTTAAATATTCCCTGACGAGCTGAGATTCAAGACTCTTGTATAGGATATCTAAGGAATAAATATTTTGTTTTCTTAAATCTTGTTCCTGCTCATCTGTTCTTTAGTAATAATTTCATCAATTATACAATTCACGGATTGGCTTCACAATTTTATGTGAGACATTTAGTAACTAAAAACAACTTAAAGGAATAGTTTGACATTTTGGATAAGTACTTATTTTCTTGCTGAGAGTGTGATGACAAGATTCTAACTAAATTTGATGCTATAGCCAGCACCTGATTAGCTTAGCTTAGCACAGAGACTGGAACCAGCTGGCCTGTCTCTGTCCAAACATAACACACACTACCTACCAGCTCTTCTGTAGCTCATTAGTGTGAAAATTACAATTAATTACTTTTTCTGGGTTGGGAGGGTGTAACGTACTGGAGTGTTGTGTGTTTCCAGTCTTAATGGTAAGCTAAGCTAACCACTCCCTGACTTTGGCTGCAGTTAAAGGACATATTTCATTTCGTTTTTTTTTTTTTAATTGGGAGAAGATGCATTAATCAGCATTTCTGTAAATGTGCCTGTTTGCCAGTCAGCTGTAGTTCAAGATGTTCTAAAATAAATAAATGGCAGGTTAAGAAATGCAAAACTAAGACAATAAGATGCTGAAAAGATGACAAAATTGTTATTAGGGCAGCACAAGCAGACAGGCCGTGATATAAAGATCCATGTATGTTTATAACAATGTGAGGCAACAGAGTATCAATGAGCAAAACTATTGATAATTATACTTGTCACACATTAGCCATGCACTGCAGCATTAAACCATAAGCACAGGTAAAATGTTAACACTAGCTATAATCTTAATGAGATGTTAACAGAAATAATAACATACACCAAAAATATAATGCACATTCTCACAACTGTAAAAATACTGACAATGTCTAATACAATACCAGTAAATACATCCATACACACCAGTAACAGGCATATGTATGAAACAAGTGAGCAAAATAATGCAGCTGAAGTGAAGGTGTTGTAGTGATGTAGGGGGTTAATATTTGTGGAGGAGAGAAACTAAGTGCATTTGGAGTACTTGTGTTTATAAGGAAGGAAGAATTTGCATAGACCTTCCTCTGCAGGTTTTAAAAGGGAGAATGTAACAGATACAGTTTCTTTAGTTATGTATTTCTACAACACCACAGGAAAATGTAACACGTCTTTAGTTATTGTTGAACGTGTTCTTGTATATTGAAAAGAAAAGACTAATATAAAGATATTTCACTATGTGAAATTTATTATGCATTACAGTTTTTTTCTGTTGCTAACAAGCATTTGTCCATTCTGTATTCACATTTTCAAAACTCTAAACACAATTATCACAACATCTGTCTGTTGTGACCATACCATTAATACAATTAATGTCGTTTTCACACAAGATTTAGTCAATGCACACGTTTCTAAAATGCTTACATTTTCTTTTCACACAAGCTTACCCCATAGCAAAATAATGGATCTTTCAAATATCTCTAACAAATGCTTAAACACATCATGACAGAATTGAAGACCTAATGATCCAAACTTTAAATATAATGTAAAGCCTCTACTTTTGCCACAACAGCTCAAAGAGCTGATAAGAATTATTGTTCTACTTGGGAAACAGCTGGTTCCAATTTGTCAGAGAGGAGCAAATATCACAATGTGCGCTGCAATCTCAAGTGCTGGTTTGGTCCTGCAGAAAAGCCAGATAGGTCCCTACAACACAGAGCGCCTTCTTTTGTTTTTAGATGACCTTCATCAACAACTGGTGCCAGAAGCAGAAAGGGAACAAGTGGGAGGAAACATGACAATATTTGTTATTGCATGGGACAACGTAGCATTCTACCAACCTGTGTTAAGAGTTTAGAAGAAGTATTTTAAGTATTGGTTAATGCTTGTTAGCAACAGCAAAAAACTGTAACAAGCCATAATCAGTGCAAACAATGCAAAATAAACAGTATAAACAGGCAGTAAATAGTGCAGACAGACAAAGGAATGCTCATTGTGAAACAAGATAAATAGGAATAAGAATAGAGTACTTACAAATAGAGACCTGTACAGATCTGTATAATCTGAACAAGGTATATTTACAGGTATTGCACTGAGGGTTATTGTCCAGTCATACTGCCCTGGGTTAAGTGCTCATCGGAGTGACAGCCTGGGGGAAGAAACTGTCCTTGTGCCTGGTTGTCTTTATGCACAGTGACCTGTAGTGCCGTCCAGGGGGGAGGAGTTAGCCAACAATAACCAAGTGACCTTTATAAAATTACGATTTTGAGTGTAGGATTTTTATAAGTAATAAAGTATTTTTACTCTCTTGTATTTGTTTGTTTTCATCACCTCTCAGCAAGAAAGCAAATAAGGGTGATTCCCAACATGTCAAACTGTTCCGTTAAGTCGTATTTGTGTTGACTTTTGCTTTACTACGGATTCCTCCAATCAGCACCTGTCGTGCCCGTGTTTGCCCAGTAGATGGAGCCAAAATGCTTTAAATGATTAAAGTCAGCGTTTGGGAGCAAAGACATGTCTGCTTTGAGCTAGGGAGCCAGATTAGAAATTAGAAGTTGGAACCACTGAGTTTAAATTAGTAAAACTCAGCCATTAAATTTGTGCTGTGTCCACCTTCACCTTAAACAGCGGTTAAATATGTTGTAGCTTCACGATTTTCATGATTTCTGAAGTTTGTTTGATTTTATTTATTTTTCAGCATTTGTTTATTTGGGATTTAAGTAACACTTCCATCACAACTGCCCTAATGCAGCAGAGATCCTTATATGGCACTGAAATTGACAAATGCAACAAAAAAAAAAAAGATTGAAGAGATTTCTGAAACCATAAAACTGCCGTTTCTCACCCGGTTTCGTTTTCAGCAAATCTTGCCTGATGTTGGTGTTGTGTCACTTTGTGGTTGCAGTGTGTTGTAATGGTAAGATGGGGAGTCCCTGCTGGTGCGGGGACTCCCGTGGGTGTTGTAACCACGGCAACCGAAGTAAAACAAAAAGATACTTGCACCTGTAAACAGAAAGATACACTCCTTATATAGATACAACCTGAGTCTGGAATTACCCTTTATCGTTTATATTGTGCACATGATTGGACCCATCCACAAAAATAAACACTGAGACAGCGACACATCCCATGGCCAAATTTGGTGATTCGGTGGGGGGGGTGGGGGACAGAGATTCAAAATCTGACTATGAGTGAATACTTTGATTGTCAGAGCTGGCTTTGTTATATTTTCCAACGACTCATTTGTTGTGTTGGAGAAGTGGCCACAGGTAGTCCTGTTTATTTTTTCTTGATTATTTGTTATGATAGTTAGCTATAGTCCCCTTTCCAGCCCACCCTTGACCAAATATTGACCTTGTGAGTAGTCTAAGGTTTACCTTCAGGTGTATCAAAGTGTAAAAGTTTCACTGTCGGATGTAAAAAAAAAATTGTCTTGGATCCTATGTGCCTCCAGACACTCTGTACTTAAAAAGTTAAGTTAATTTTTTGCCACACAAAACATCTTGCAGCATCTGTAAGTGATTCAACCGTTCTGGTCCAGACTAAAATATCACAACAACTATGCATGTTCCCCAGAGGATGAATCCTACTGACGTTTTTCTCTAATTCCACCATGAGGCTGACGCTTTTGGTTTTGATTGAAATATCTCAAATTGGTAGACAGTCATAATCAGTGGTGGAAGTAATTAAAGTAATAATACAAAAGTACAAAAATATTAGCATCAAAACATACTTTGTGGCTCCTCTCCCCCGTAGTGTGTTTTCTCTCTCTCTCTCCCTGTACCTTTCTGTGGGTAGCCCTGGCTCTGGAGCTCTACATCTCTGACAAGCAGTCACCGGCCACATCAACCTGACCAGTGTTTGATTGTTTGTTGTGTCTTGTTGCTTTTCTTCTTTAGTCTCTCCTCTATCCACTCACCCCAAAGGCAGAAGGCCGCCCACCAAGAGCCGGGGTCTGTCGGAGGTTTCTTCCGTTAAAGGGAGTTTTTCCTCCCCACTGTCGCCAAGTGCTTGCTCAAGGGGGATTTGTTGGGTTTTCCCTATGTAATAATATTGATAACAGTAAGGTCTAGACCTTACTTTGTAAAGTGTCCTGAGATGACTTTTGTTGTGATTTGGTGCTATACAAATAAAATTTGATTTGATTTGATTTATTATAATTACTGACACATTATTATGCACATCACATTTAATGTTGCAGCTGGTAAAGGGGGAGCTGGTTTTAACTGACCTACATGCATTTACTTTGAATTACTGCTGTGCAGCGTGTGGACTTTCCACCATAGATTCATGGGATCTTATAATTATACTGTATTTTTGTATTAATCTGGTTCTGAAAAGAAACAAATAGCTAAAGTTATAAAAGAACTGTGGATGAGTAAAAAGTACAATATTTGCCTCTAGTGAAGTCAAAGTACAAAGTATCAGAAAATGAAAATACTTAAGTACAGATACCTCAAAATTGTACTTAAGTACAGTACTTTCTAAATGTTACTTTCTACCATTGATCATGATTCATTATAAATGTATAGTGTTCCCACCAGCCTCAGCTGTGCTTTGTGTTTAAAGCAACAGTAATTATTAATAAATGTTAACATTCTAAATATTGACACCTGCTTTAACATTGGCATGTTAGGATTTTGGCATTTGCATTTAACTTAGGACAACTTTACAGCACGGCTGCTTTTGAAAACTCGCAGCTCATTTGTGGCACAATTTGGTCTCAGAATTGTCCACAGAATGTATTAAGTGAAGTGATATTAAAGTTATTTATTTCAGTTCTTTAGTGCCCACTTCACAGTGGAGAACTGGAGATATTTAATGTATTTTTGGGGATGTTTCAAAAACAGATTTATACATGTAATTCGTGTTTAATGATAAAGGACAGTAGAGCTGGGGAATAAGATACATTACTAAACCATCAGAGATTTGGCTGTACAGTTTAGTACTACGCCTATGTACTTGTAGTAGGTCTGTTTTGTTGGCAGTATTAGATTTGTATATGATTTTTGCACAAAGGTGGTGAAATATATTGGATTGTCGTGTATTTAATGTGCCTGATCATTCAAACTCATTCTGGTTACCTTAATATATCACTAGACACATCATTATGGCAATATAACATTACATATACTATGACGAAAACTGTATCAGTATGACCTTCACCTATAGGATAGAATGGTGCCAGTCTGTCATGTGATTTATCAGCAGGGTAAACAGATGTGGTCACCTCACAGTGTGGATGTGGCTCCACTGAAAGCTCCAGTTTTAATGGAGAGCGGATGTGACTTCATCTAAGTGAAAGTCAAGCCTCCCTTTCCCGAGGGTATAGAGATATGAGCTGTTTGATTAACACTCTCGGTATCATCATTTCTGCACTTGATCGTTTCCACTCCACATGACTCATCCTGTCAAATCACAGAATTGAGATTTTGAGTCAGAGGAAAATATTACGTAGCCTGATGTTTAATAATAGGAATACTGGAATGCAATTTGTTTTACTGCATAAGTTCATATCAGCAAATAATTACCTTTTTATTCTAAAATCGGTCACCAGATACTATGTTTAAGAAAAAATGCCAACCATGATCTGGTTCCATCTTCTCATGCTGCTTTCCTGTGTTTTATGTCACTGTAGATCGACTATCTTTGGGGTTTTGGGGACAGCTAGGCAAACAGACATCACTTTAGGCTATAGAAGACTAACAGGTTTTTTTTTTTTTCAAATTATTAACGGATTTAAAAAAGAAAACAACACCCATCAGCTGATTAGTTTAGCATAGCCTAAAGACTGGAAATGTGGCAACAGCTAGCATGGCTCTCTGAACAAAACTAAATATGCCTACCAGCACCTCTAAAGCTCAACAGTTTGCACATTACTTTGTCACTTTGTGGTTAAACAGTGATGCAATATAACAATATGAATTGCAAAAGTTCTGTTAGCAGACTGTTGTTTTCAGATAAAACTAGGCTGGCTGTTAGTGCTAAGCTAAGCTAATAGCTGCTAGTGGTATCTTCTCATTTAACTCTCAGCAAGGAAGCAGAGAAGTATATTCCTCTAATTGTCAAATTATGTATTTAAAATTTATGTGGAGCTAATTTTTATACAAATAACCCTGAAAAAATCCTGTAGCTGTTAAAAAAGTCAGTTATAGCCATGCTGCAGTTAAATTTATGAAGATACACACTGGGTTTTGTTATACGTCTGCCTTAGCAGAGAAGATGGCCTCTGTTGAAACTGATAGTGTGAATGTGTCCAGACAAGTCCAATTTACAGGAAATAATGTGTACAGCTCTGTCTCTCTCTGTGTGTGCTAGATAAAAGGCCTTGGAAAGCAGCCCGGTGTGGAGTTTCCCAGTGATTGTAATCCACTGGGAGTGCTCAGGTCAAGTCAGCAGAGACTGGCCAAGCCAGAAAAGGTAACACCTGCTCCAACCAACACACTCCACCAGGAGCTCACAAACTAAGCCAGCCCCCAGACGGACAGCTGAGAGTGTTAAATATGGACACCATGGTGAAACTGCACTGTTACCACTTTGTTTACTGCACTTTACAAACAGGTTTGCGTGTGATTACTGTATAAAGAGAAACAATTAGTCCACTAATCAAATGACACACTGCAAAAATTATTTGTAGGTAGGTGAAAAAATATCTTTGTGTTGGCTTACTGCTATATATTTAGAATATCTTAGCAAAGCTTTGTCTTTATTAGACATTTGATTCATATTTTTTAAAGGAACAAATGAGATTTTGAACTCTAAACATAAAACCACCTCATTTCAAATCATGACCTGATAATGGCCCTATATAAAAATTTTGAATAGCACCAAAGTTATTGTGATTCATCCTCTGGGGATCATGAATACCTGTACCAAATGTTGTTCAGTCCATCCAGTGGATGTCTCGACCTTCACTGGTTAAATGATCAACTCTGCTGTCACTACAGAAGACGTCAGAGGGACTCCACAGTCAAGATCATGAGTAATGTCGATATTTAACACTCTGTTGCCCATCTGGGGTTTTGTTAAACTATAACAATAATTCCAATTTATCAGCTGAATATACACTGACTGGCCACTTTATTAGGTACACCTGTACTATTGTATGCACTTCAGTGCAACACTCCACCTTAACATCTGTGTTTATGAAGCTCAGAATATTTGTTTTTGGTGAAATTGTCATAAATGTATATTTATTATTGAGGTCATAGTTAAAGGTGGTGTTGTACTGGACTACAGTATATTTAGAGGTATCTGTATATTTTTGTCCTCCTCAGCTGCATAAACAAGTGGGTCAGAATATTAGGAACATCTATGAATAACAGTCTAGTACAACACCATCTTTAACTATGACCTCAATAATAAACATGTAATTGAATTTTTAAATTTGATAATTTTGTAATTTGTATGATTAATCTGAATCTGCAAAGTAACTAATACGTTTTAAAATAAATGTAGTTATAAAAATGAGCATTTGCCTCTGAAGTTTAGAGTGCAGTGTACTATGAAGTAGCATAAAATGAACGTACTAAAGTAAACGTATAAAACTCTTTGAGCAGCTACTTTGTCAGAAATAGCACAGTTGTGTCACTGGTGTTATTTGTCTCTTGTGAACGCAGCTGGAATCAATAACGGACTTTGCCACTAACAGTGCAAACTAGAGAATGCAAATACATTGACAGGGTTTTGATGCCTGTCATACAAAAGTGGGTTTGCTTCCCCCAGTACAGATCAATAAAGCTTTATCTTAATCCGTTTAGTTGATTGCCTTTCAGAAAACATGCCCAAAATCCTCACAACCTTTAACTTGGAAGCTGGCAAAAGAAACAAACATTTTAAAATAAAGGTTAGAAAATAGTGGTGCTCATTTTCCAGTCTGGTGTCACACGTTTCCACAAAAAATATGCCCTTACAAAAGACTGGATGACTCAGCAGTGACCACACAAAATGAAGAGGAAAGGAGAAATAGATTTCTTTTTCTCAGCTTGGATTAATGTAAGACGTGGCAGGTTTTTGAGAATAACAGGCACTGTAGCTTGTATGAGGTTAAGACACCAGTTACGCGGAGCCCGAGGTGTCCGATAACCACAGACAACACGAGATGCTAAATCCTGAGCGCTCTCTGTAGTGTCTCTGGCAAACAAGTCGATCAGGCTTCTCCTGTGACACGGCTGACATTTACAACTGACGTGAAGAATGTAAATCCATGATGTTTATTTCTGCCAGGAGTCATTGTGTTCATGAGTAAGCGAGCAGGTTAGGAAGGTATGTAGACAGGCAGCTAAATGTAGGTCAGTGTCTTCACCCTTTTTGTTTCTTTGACCACAACAGCAGTAGTTTCAGAGGAAGTAATGACATGACATAACACTTTAACATTTTATTTTTGTCTTTGAAATATTTACAGGGGAAGGGCTGGATATGTGACAAGGTGGAGATGAGAATTAGTACGAGAGTGAAACCGCTGAAGAAAAGGAACTGACACAGACAGAGGTAACAATGTGAAGATGACTGGTTTCTATTGCATTTAAGTTGGTTAAATATTGAAGAAGCTGGTGTGATAGCCACGCCCACAGTGAATTATAAAGCAGAAGAATGTGAAGAACAGATCTGAACCTTCTGGGCTCCAGACAGTTTGCGTTATAAACTAGAATCCTTTCAACAATTTCTACGAGTCATTCAGGTTGTGTGGAAAACAATAGATCGTACAAACACTACACAACAGGTATTTCAGTCTAACCTCATTAATGATTTACCATCACAGATAGGAAGTTCACCAGAGAAAGAGAGAAGTTAACCAGCTCTATTTTTAGGCTGTCATCGTACTGTGAGAATCACTTTCTTCTTATGGCCTGTAAGCCTTAACATTAATGCTAGCAGCATTTCTGGGCAAATATTTAGGAATGTTAACATGCTCCTGATCAGTAAAGCCTTGACCAGCAAGGCTTCCAGGCACAGATGAAGACACATGATTAGGGAGAGCGCCACAGAGCAGAGTTGCTTATATAAACATTACAGGGTGCAAGCAGCTGGAGCAAATGAGGCATTTTCTTTCATCTGAAATTTGTGAAAAGCCTTTCTGGTTCTAATTCTTAAAATGTTAAAGAGACAGGTCGACGGTTTGGGAAGTTTACTTATTCTTGTTCTTGCTGAGAATTGTGTATTAATGAGTGAGCTTTAATGCTGCTAGCCGTTTCCCCCTGCTTCTAGTCTTTATGATAAGCTAAGATAACTGGATGCACCTTCATGAGAGGCGTATCAATCTTTTCATCTAAGAGGCTATTCATGCTTTGCGCAACCGCACGTCCGCTAAGGTCAAGTCAGGCAATTTTCATCATCCTCCTACATCCACATGGATTCTGCATGTACATCCAAGTGCAGACTAAAAGTTTGTGTCTGTGGAGCAAAAGCCTCAACTATGCATGTGCCACAGTGCTAGAAAACAGTTGATGTACACAGACAGAAGGCAGACCTTCAATGTGAAGTATGGAAGGAAGGAATGCATGCGTTTACCTTGTCCGTACGACGGTATGCGCAAAGCATGCCTGTCCCTTTACTCATGACAGAAAAGTGGATAAGTGCATTTCCCAAGATGTCTACCTATTCCTTTAATGGGCACAATGTTAATTATTCTACAAGATGGTGACTGTCCCATCCTCATAGCTCCTGCTCCGTCTTCACCTGAGCCGCCTCAGACGGGCTGCTCTGTGGCTCTGACTGTGGAGTCTGGTTCTCGTTGACGAGCATGCTGAAATGCCAGTCATTCAAACGAGAAAAGTCCTCAGTGTATGGGCCAAAGTTCTGGTTAAAATTCACATCCATGTTCGCAAACATGGAGCTGGCGTCAGGCCCCTGTTCAAGGCCGGAGGGCATGGAATAGGAGAAGCTCTGCTCGGTGAGCATTTCCCTAAATTCAGGTATTTCTAGCAGTTGATTAAGGAGGGCTGTATCCTCTATGCAGCTGTTTGAGTCCATGGGCTCGTAACCCATATCCCCCAGATCGGAGGAGCCAGGCTGGGCAACGCAAAGGCTCTCATCTGGAGACATCATGGTCTGAGGCTGCGGGAAGTGGAAGGGCTGCTCCGCTGCAGGTGCACCCTCTGCTGCAGGAGGAGGAGGAGGAACAGATTGTGTTACAGAGAAAAGAAACATCCGTTAGAAATATGACAAAAAGTTCGTTATCAGGTAGAGAGTGTTACACGTGGGCTGTGTCATATGATTCCAGCTGTTTGATATTATTTAAATCTTTTCCAAAAACTTTTCGTTAGAGACGTATATAGGCAATTTGAGTGATGTAAGACCAAAACATTACTGGTGTCTAATCCAGCAGTCCTGCCATAAAGCTGGAGTTACCTTCATGGAGGTACCTTCAGTTTTTGTTCAGACCGTTTTATGAGAGGTGCTGATTCAACTGACAAGTGTTGCTATTATTTTGTCCACCACATTTATAAGTAGTTAGACCCTTTACCTAAGTAAATGTATCAATACAGTGAAAAAAATACTGTTACAAGTCCTACATTCAAAATGTCACTTATAAAATTATTAGCATCAAAGCATACTTGAGTTCTTAGAATATTGTAATATTTGTAGTAATCTGGTTCTGAAAAGTAACTAAAGTTGTAAAAAAAGTGCAGTATTTGCTTCTGAATGATATTTCGCTAAAGTAATAGAAAATCAAAATATTCAAGTACAGATACCTCAAAATTGTACTTGGGTACAGCACTTGAGTAAATGTACTTAGTTACTTTTCAGCACTGAGTGAGGATAGGCTAAATAACAGTATCATGCAGTACTGCTCGACAGCAACGCAAACTACAGCCTCCAAAACAATCACACAGTTGAATCCACAGCTCTCAAACAGTTTCAACACAAACTGAACATTATCACCTTCATGAAGGAGGGTTTGTTGTAATGCTGCAGTATTAGCTCGGTGTACCCAATGAACCCGGGGGCTGTGTAATGTTCTGTACAGTTAAATACACTGCTTGTATCCCAGTTTCATTACTCCCTGGCATCTTTAGTTGTACTTTAATTTTATTCTGCTTCACATTTGATTTGTGTATAGCACAGTAGAATTATTTCACTGTGTCTATCAATCATCTCAGGCACAGAGATAACGAGATAACACTGTCTTATTGTAATACACCTGTATCTGTGACACAGTTCTCTATTGTGGAACAACCTGTTTGGGCAGTTTTAGCAAAGGTCATGCTGTCTTTTGGTTACTAATCACGTCATGTGACATAATGACAAGTAGGCAGAAATTTAACGAATTTTAATGTTAACAAACTTGTTTCACGCTACAGCACTGACAACTGAGATGTGCCTACAGGTTAACAAGAAAGAAGGAAAGGTGGCAGGCGGCCTTTGAGTTAAGATTATTTTATGAAAATAATTCTTTCCGAGGTTAAAAGTAAATTTTCACCCTCATGTCCAAAGTTGAAGCCCACATCTGTGTTTATAAAGCTCAAAATGTTTCAGTTTTTGGTGAAATTGTCATAAATGTATAAATGGAATTATATGTTTATTATTAAGGTCATAGTTAAACGTGGTGTTGTACTGGACTACAGTATATTTAGAGGTGTTTCTATATCTTTGTCCTCCCCAGCTACATACATGGGTGGGTCAGAATATTAGGAGGCTCCTAACTGCCTCAGCTTGACTAAAGAAACATTAAAATCATTAAGGGTTCAAGCCTCACCTGTCACACAAAGTTTGTCCCTGAAGCTGAGGTTCGACTTAATCTTCGTCTTCCGCTTCACCTCGTATGGATCTGAAATGGGAGACAGTTTGGGAGTATGTACATTAATCTCTTGTTACCATTTCTATCTAAAACGTTGCCAATCCAGACCACTGTACAATGATCGCAGTGGTAAAACAACCACAGACAGCTCAGTGCTATATAGTCCTGACTGACCTGGGTTGTGCGGCAGGTACGTGAAGTTGACAGGCTCGCTCTCCATCTGGTCTGAGATGCGCCGCAGGACAACACTGACTTCCTTCTCCTCTGTGATGTCCTGTTCCTGGTAGGGTGGAGTCTTAAACACGATGGCAATCTGCCTGTGCACGTCTGACTGAGCAAACTCCCCGTTCGCCTTCCACGACCCTCGTCTGAAGAGGATTTCTATGTCATCTGTCGATCAGCAGCGACACACACATTAAACCAAGAGAAATGAGAAAATTCTCAAAGTTGACAATTTTTCAAGGTATTTTTCTTTTTAAAAAAAAAACAAAAAAAAAACAAACCTTTAAAATCTGCCATAAAAGCTACTAACATTTTGCTCTAGAGTGGCATGGACAGTTACATTATTTATACATTCCTTTTAGAAAAAAATGGATAGCAAACATCAGTACTGTTGTTAAATTTGACTTTAGTTTTTGCTACAGTTTTGTTTAAGCTTTCTTCTAAATGATCCAGAAATCAATTTTTTAAGAAACCTGAGGTGAGAGGTGTGAATGTTTTCCTCTTACCTTTCTGCACTTTGTCACACAACATGTAGATTTCTGTCTTGCCAGTGCAGGGACCTCTATTCATGTTCAAACAGCTGATCTTCAGTTGTGAGGTCGTCGTGGCCTCTGTGAAAGAAACGAGCATGCGTTAATGCTCGGCAATCAGGAAATACAATTTTGGTTCAGTGGGTTACACGGTGGTCGAGACAGTTTGCATGTCTGGCAGCGTCTTACTCTTGTCATAGATCGGATTGGACACCACCGGGCTGAGACTGTCTTTTCTGCCGTCGTCCCACTCGAACTCACACTGGAAACACAGACGCACTGCATTCATGTCCATGTCTTCGATGCCCTTTGAGTGACCAGCTGAGGGATGAAGAGACTGCATCAATCATGAGATCTGTTTTTAGGAGTCGCAGTGAATTTTAACAGAGGAAAGAAGAAAGCATCTTCTTTTAGCTGAGGTTGAAGTGTGTGTGTGTGTGTTAGGATCCAACTCACTTTGAAAGGGGTCGATATTTTGGCTTCTTCTTTTCTGAAGAGAAAGTTCCAGCTCTTTCCTCCTCACACACTGGATACCAAGGTTAGCAAAGCTGCAAGTCCAGAGCGGTGAGAAGAAACACTTTGTTAGGACACCCTGTACGCTCAGCAGTGGAGTGGAGGGTGAAATGCAAATGCAAGAAAGATGTAATGTTAAGAGTGCAAGGTAAAGAAACTAAGTCTAATCAAAAGCTCTGTGTTGGAGACAGATGTGCACCTGTGGCGTCTGTTGTTGTTGGGATTGAACGAGACCACACAGATTCCCGAAGTGTTTGGGCAGTCTTTACCCACAAGGCAGTGGGGGTGAGGCCGGTGTGGGAGGTCTTTGGTCACCAAGGAAACAGTTACTGTGACCCTCTTTATGTGGTCAATGGGACCCTGAATCTGAGAGAGAGAACAAGAAGAAAGAGAGAAGTATGAAGGAGACATAGAGAACAATAAACACACAGTCACCAACAGCTGAGGCCGAACAAACACCCCGTTTCCACCTGACACTAGGGCACTCACTACTAAGCACTTATCAAAATACCTGCCAATTCATTTTCATATGATCAACTAATTGGTGAATAGTTGCAGTTCTAATCTTTTCTGGATTCTTCGTGCCACTATGTCTGCATTTATATAGTAACTGATAAATCAGTAAATTTCCAAATTGCAGAAATACACTGATTTATTTTTTTCAAGAATTTCCAAAGTCCCCGACAGTAATGTGCTATGATTGAGTCTGCCTAAGGTGGAGATGAATGTGTAGGTGTGTTTGTTAGTGTGGGCTGGCAGGAGACAAGCCGCCTGTCTTTGACCATACTTGAGCTGGGGTTTGTGGGACTTTCTAATTGACTCCAGCAACCCACATCCTTCCAGCTCCACCCATTTATGCAGAGGGTTCAAGTGTAAACACCAAAAAAAACAAAGTCTGCGGGTTTAAAACTGTGTCAGGGAGGGGGTATACCAATATCAGAATAAAGAGAGATTGACTCAGTTATGACTGTACCTCTATTGCAGGCTGTGTCTTGTTAGTTTCAGTACTAGACACCCCCAGAATGCTGCCGGCCGAGCGCCCTTCACATTCATAGCGAAACCTCATGCCTCTGTCTTTGGGTTCCTCCACCACCACCAGTTTTGGCTTCTCCAGAATCTGCTCCAGTATCTCAGTGTCACCTCTGCTTTGAGAGGTGGTGATGTTGCAGCTCCTAGAAGCCCCTCGACTGCGCCGAGAACAACTAGTTGAAGACCCAACTCCCTCGGGCGGAGGAACTGACGCCATCCCTCTGGAAGTGCACGACTGCTGCAGGGGCTGGGGGAAGGTGCAGGTTGGCTGTAGGAAAAAAAAAACAGCACAGCCTTATTCACAACACAAGCTTTTATTAACCTTTTGCAACAGGGACCAGACTAAAACAGCATCATAAAACAAAACTAGATAAGACAACAGATCAAAGGTTAAGGCCATTAACAGGGTTATGCAATATTAGAATGGAGTCATTAACCAGAGGGATACACCATGCTGCTTAATATCTATAACAGGTAACAAGTTCTCCTGAGCTGCTTTCATCATCTGCTACCTTGGGTCCCACATACTTTTAGCTTGAGATTTCACATGACAACCAGTTTGGTGCTATAGTAAAACGCATAGCTCAGGGTTCAACCAGTGGATTCCAACCTTTTTGATTAGACACCCAAAAATCAAGTGATGTTTCAGGTGTCAATGAGTTGTTCTGAGTTGAAATGATTAGTTGATTAACTGATCTTGACAAATTTAAAACTTCAGTCAAAAATCATGAAAAAAATGTTTGCACATTTCCAAAGTTGCTGCCTCTGTGTCACATACTGTAAAGTGAATAGTTGAGGCTTTGGCCTAATAAACCAAGACATTGGAGGATGTCACATTCAGTTCAGCAACGATTTCTGACAATGATTTGTTGTTCTGTAGACTAACCGATTAATCAGTTAACTGGCAGAATAATCTATAATAAAGATACGTCTTAGATGCAGCCCTAGAGTTGTTAGCAGCCAGACCTTTGCCCCTCTGAACATCATGTGAGGTACAAAATGGTAAAAGTATCCTATTCAGAAAAGCCACAATTAGAGAAAAGACCAAATAAAATACAATATAAACATGCACAACAGATTCCATTTCTTTCCTGTCCCATTAATGAGCTCATGATAGCACCAGGATCCAACCCCCTAGACTGGACTAAATTACTGTATATAGCTGCTCCAGCAGTTAAGTGGTGGTACTTGCATGTTTATATGTCAGTGTTAATCCAAAATATAATCAGGAACCTTCAACTACATTTCTCTGAAAATATCTATGCAGCTTTTACTGTAAAAAAAAAAAAGAAAGAAAAAGAGCATTTTTAGATTCTTGTACTGGTACATTTAATTAGGTGAAACATCCAAGTACTTGTTCCACTAATGTAACAGGCTTCCTGTAGAGAACAGCAGAAAGCGAAATGTAAATAGTTCCTGGCATGTAGCACAGAACCAGATGTCTGCCATCCATTAGAGCAGATGACAGTGTTAAGTGAAGCCTGCTGCATCAGAGCTGCAGCAGTACTAAGTCCCTGCATGTTTCTCCTCCATGCATGTGTTTTGTATTGGCACACATTGTCAGCCATGTGCTCTTTGACTCCTCCTCTGAGTTTTGATGTCTTAGTTTTTCCGTTACACCACAGACCACTAAGCTTTTCCGTTCCCACTCAGGCACGGTGTGTCTCTCTCTCCCTCTGTGCTGCTTTTACTTTCTCTCTCTGTAATGCATCACAAATCAACAATATATGACTGTGAAGCCAGTGGCCTTATTGTGATGTAGAATAAAGTAAACATGCCACAGATAAAATTCTAGAAAACAAACTTGAAAGTGTCAGATCTGTAACACCAGGTTACCAACAGATGAATAATCAAACCTGCAGGGAACCTAGACGTAAAGCTGACTCTGTTCAGGCTGAGAGTTCATGAATCCGTTGCTGCAGAGACCCGGGTGATGCCTGCGCATGAGATCATGTTTCACAGTATCCTGTTGAGCCGCAGATGTCTGTCGTCTCAGCCCGACAACAGTTAGCGTTAAAAAGCTGTAGCTAAACAAAAGCCTGGCAGACTGAGTCAGCGAACAGGAAACAGGAAGTCAGCTCAGCCTGACATAGATCAACCAATTGGAGAAGCGGAGCACTGGGCAAAGAATGTGACCTTTAACCCCCGGTGGGTTTGGCTAGTAAACAGAAAGGACGGCAAACTGAAAGTAGGAGTCAGATTACAGTTCTTCCAAGTTGTCCAAGTTTTCCTCCTTGCCTTCTTCCTCCTCCTCCTCCTCTCGCTCAGCCTCCTCCCACAGAAAAGTATGCCAGGGAGGTACATCAGCCTCTGTCACAGGCCAAAAGACGTGGAACTTTTCAACTAAATTTATTTACACAAAAAAAAAAAAAACCCAGATACAGAAAAGACACGTGCAGACATTTGTTAATCAACACGTTCATGTGCTTTCTGATGCCCTGCTTTATTTGTACACCTGTGCTGCGGCGTTACTACGGCCTTATCAGATTACAACAGCCCTCCTGGGTGTGTGTGTGTGTGTGGGTAAACCACATGCTTTATGGCACGAGCCTGACCTGCCTGGCTGTCTGTCTAATTACTTGCCCTGCACAACAACAAAACATCCAGCCATCTGCAGGCTTCACATGTACCACACTGCAGTCACCTCTTTTCACAGAGGCAGAAGCTTCCTCTTTTGTAATAGTAGCTAGTTTGCCACAACTTCCTTAATTCATTCAGTCACAGGATGAAACTAACTCTTCTAATAGGTTCTATACATAACTGCATTTGGAAGACATGTTTGTCGCATCCTTGGCTCCAAACTGGACGCCGTCACCTTCTTCTAACATAACCCCCACCTGAAAGAAACACCTTCATACTTCATTGGTGAGCGTTACCAACAGTCGTCCCGGAAACCAGTAACCGAGGCAGAAACCAGACGAGAGCAGAAAACATCAACACAAACGCCAGCACTGCTTTTGAACTCACTCACCTGACACGCGGTGCCTCTTGACACCAGTACAGGATGAGACGATGGCGAGGAGCGCTGCCGGGACGTACCCTGGTTGTGGCTGTGCGGTGGCTGACACAGGTCAGCAGGGGGCAGAGGTGGTCCAGGAAGGGGGGGACCTGACCGCCTACCTTCTGCTATGATGATTTCTTCAAGCATGTCTGTAAAAATAAATAAATACATAAATAACAAATAAACAAATAGTGTCTCCTATTGCAAATTAACACTGATCCACTGTTGGTCCACAACAGCTGAGAGCAGCCTCATTTAAATTCAGATTTCATGACTGATTGATCAGATCGGCACTGACACAACACTACAGTTAACACCGCGCTCTCTTTGGCTCCTTACAGGCTGAGAAGGGAAAAGGCAATTATCAGTTATCTTAACAAGTCATTTTCACACACCCTGAAGACACTTTACATATAGAAATCAACGTGTTGTTTATTGAAAAGACTAAGCCTAAAAATGTAAGAAAATAAAATGTCTTATTTTACATTTTCTTAGCTTCTTACGAGGTTTCTTGAAGGGAGCCGTGTAGTCTGATACTTATTAAAGGAAAAACAGAGATGTGCTCCTGAGAGCAGTTGTTTCACTGAGTTAAGTTCATTCATGACTTCCAGATGAATTTCCATAACAGAAACCCTGTGTTTTTGTATTTAGATCCGTTTCATGGTCAGTGTTACAGCAGTGTAGGACAAGACTGTGCCTTTTGCGTTGACTGTCTATCACTACATCAGGAAAGCTCAGCACATCATCATATTTATACTGTGGCCAATTTCAAACAAGTATAAAAAATGTTGTGTCAAAATGACCTGCTAGTTGGTGCTCAGATCCTTTACTCAAAGAGCCAACGCCACAGTTTCAAAATACTCCATGATAAGTAAACGTCTTGCATTTAAGTAAAAGTATTATCAACAAAATGTAAAAAAAAACATTAAAATATAAGTATTGGTTGTGTAGTTAAATGTCCCCTGTGACTGATATATTATACAACATTAGCAGATTCAAATAGATGTAACTGTGTATAAGTAGTATTTTATTGTCGTCTCTGCTGGAGCTACTGTTTACTACTGGTTCCCAAACTAAGGGTGAGGGCCCTACAAATGGTCACCACGTCATTCTACCTCTTTAATCAAGACTGATGTATGAAAGAAGAAAGAAATGCTCTGCTACACTAATATACAGTGGGTACGGAAAGTATTCAGACCCCCTTAAATTTTTCA